ATTAACAAGATCAGAAATGAAAAGGGGGACATAACCACAGACACAGAGGAAATTCAGAGAATCATTAGATCTTACTACAAAAGCCACAAAATTGGAAAATGTGAAAGAAATGGACACCTTTTTAGATAAATATAATTTACCAAAATTAAGTCAAGACCAGGTGAGCAGTTTAAATAGACCTGTAAGTCGCGAGGAAATAGAAGCTGTCACCAGAAACCTCCCTACCAAAAAAAGCCCAGGACCAGATGGTTTCAATGCAGAATTCTATCAGAGCTTCCAAGTAAAGTTAATACCTATAGTCCTTAATGTGTTTCACAAACTAGAAACAGAAGAGTCATTGCCTAACTCCTTTTATGAAGCTACAGTCACCCTGATACCAAAACCACACAAAGACTTAACCAAGAAAGAGAATTACAGACTAATCTCACTCATGAACATTGACGCAAAAATACTCAATAAAATACTGGCAAACCGAATACAAGAATACATCCAAAAAATTATACATTATGATCAAGTAGGCTTCATTCCAGAGAGGCAGGGCTGGTTCAACATACGAAAATCTAACAACATAATCCATCATATAAATAAACCAAAGGAAAAAAACCATATGATCATTTCATTAGATGCTGAAAAAGCATTTGACAAAATTCAACACCCCTTTATGATAAAGGTCTTGGAGAGATTAGGGATATAAGGTTCATTCCTAAATATAATAAAGGCAATATACAGCAAGCCGACAGCTAACATTAAATTAAATGGAGAGAAACTCAAAGCCATCCCACTAAAATCCGGAACAAGACAAGGCTGTCCACTCTCTCCATACCTCTTCAATATAGTGCTTGAAGTTCTAGCAATAACAATAAGACAACATAAGGGGATCAAGGGGATTCGAATTGGAAAGGAAGAAGTCAAACTTACATTATTTGCAGATGATATGATAGTGTACATAAGCGACCCCAAAAACTTTACCAAAGAAATCCTACAGCTGATCAACACCTTTAGTACTGTGGCAGGATACAAAATCAACTCCAAAAAATCAGTTGCCCTCCTATACACAAAGAACAAAGATACAGAGACGGAAATCAGAGAAACATCACCTTTCACGATAGCCACAAATAGCATAAAGTATCTTGGGGTAACTCTAACCAAGGAAGTGAAAGATCTATTTGACAAGAACTTTAAGGTTTTGAAGAAAGAAATTGAAGAGGATACCAGAAAATGGAAGAATCTCCCTTGCTCTTGGATTGGGAGGATCAACATAGTAAAAATGGCAATTCTACCAAAAGCAATCTATAATTCAATGAAATTCCCATCAAAATCCCATCAAAATTCTTCACAGAATTGTTCTCACCTTGAGAGAACAATAATCAACTTTATATGGAAAAACAAAAAACCCAGGATAGCCAAAACAATCTTATACAATAAAGGAACTTCTGGAGGCATTACCATCCCTGACTTCAAACTCTATTAAGGAGCTACAGTATTGAAAACAGCTTGGTATTGGTATAAAAACAGAGAAGTTGACCTATGGAATCGAATAGAAGATCTGGATATTAACCCACAAACCTATGAACACCTGATTTTCGACAAGGGAGCTAAAGGTATACAATGGAAGAAAGAAAGCATCTTTAACAAATGGTACTGGCATAACTGGATGTCAACCTGTAGAAGAATGAAAGTAGATCCATATCTATCACCATGCACAAAACTCAAGTCCAAATGGATTAAAGACGTCAGCATTAATCTGACCACATTGAACCTGATAGAAGAGAAAGTGGGAAGTAGTCTACAAGATGTGGGCACAGGAGACCACTTCCTAGGTAGAACCCTAGTAGCATAGACAATAAGAGCAACAATAAATAAATGGGACCTCCTGAAACTGAGAAGCTTCTGTCATTAAGACAAAAAGGCAACCTACTGATTGGGAGAAGATCTTCACCAACCCCTCATCAGACAAAGGTCTGATCTCCAAAATATACAAAGAACTCAAGAAATTAGACACTAAAACTCTAATTTACCCAATTAAAAAATGGGGTACTGAACTGAACAGAGAATTCTCAACAGAAGTTCAAGTGGCCAAAAGACACTTAAGGTCATGCTCAACCTCCTTAGTGATTAGGGAAATGCAAATCAAAACAACTTTGAGATACCATCTTACACCTGTCAGAATAGCTAAAATCAAAAACACCAATGATAGCCTATGCTAGAGAGTATGTGGAGTGAGAGGAACACTCATCCATTGTTGGTGGGAATGCAAACTTGTGCAGCCACTTTGGAAATCAGTGTGGTGGTTTCTCAGGAAACTAGGAGTCAACCTCCCTCAGGACCCAGCAATTCCAGTCTTGGGAATATACCCAAGAGATGCCCTATCATACCACAAAAGCATTTGTTCAACTATGTTCATAGCAGCACTATTTGTAATAGCCAGAACCTGGAAACAACCTAGGTGCCCCTCAATAAAAGAATGGTTAAAGAAGGTGTGGAACATATACACATTGGAGTTTTACACAGCGGTAAAAAACAATGACATCTTGAATTTTGCATGCAAATGGATGGACATAGAAAATGCTTTACTGAGTGAGGTAACCCAGACCCAAAAAGAGGAATATGGTATGTACTCACTCATAAGTGAATTCTAGCCATAATTAAAGGACATTGAGCCTATAATTCGTGATCCTAGAGAAGCTAAATAAGAAGGTTGGTGCGGGAGAATTGTCTGTATTCTGTCGATCATATTTTAATAAAACGCTGATTGGCCAGGCAGGCAGTATAGGCGGGAAAGCCAGACAGGAAGAGGGGTGGAGCAAAGAGACTGGGAGTCTTCTGGAAGCAGAAGCTCCCTCAGCCACTCCTGTGCAGACCACTGAAGAGGCAGCATGTAACCTGCCCCGCTAAGAAAGGTACGGAGCCATGTGCTAACATAGATAAGGATAATGGGGTAACATAAGTTATAAGAGTTAACAAGAAGCCTGACCTAATGGGCCAATCAGTTTATAACTTTATGGAGTCCTGTGTGTGATTTTCTTTGTTGCTTGCCGGCTGTTGGGGTGCTGGGAGGGACAGAAACCCCAACAAGCCGGCCCTCCATGTTACAGAAGGTGAACCCAAACAAAACCATATAGTTATCCTCCTGGATATTGGAAGTAGACAAGATTACCAGGCAAAACTTGGGTGCATGGGTGTGGGAGGAGTGGATGTAAGGGGAGATGGGTAGAGAGAAGGGTGAAGTGGAGGATTCAGGATTGCTTGGGGGAATGGGATGGGTGGGATGGAGGAAGGGTGGATATGGGAGCAAGGAAGTAAATATCTTAATTAAGGGAGCCATTTTAGAGTTTGCAAGAGACTTATCTCTAGAGGGGTTCCCAGGTCCAAGGAGAGGTCCCCAGATTGTTCCTTGGGCAGCAGAGGAGAGGGTGTCTGAACTGGCCTTGTCCCGTAGCCACACTGATGAATATCTTGCATATCTCCATAGAACCTTCCTCTGGCAATGGATGGAAATAGAGACAGAGACCCACATTGGAGCACTGGACTTAGCTTCCAAGGTCCAAATGAGGAGCAGAAAGAGGGAGAACATGAGCAAGGAAGTCAGGATCACGAGGGGTGCGTCCACCCACTGAGATGGTGGGACTGATCTAATGGGAGCTCACCAAGGCCAGCTGGACTGGGAGTGATGGAGCATGTGATCAAAATGGACACTATGAACGTGGCTGACAATGAAGGCTAACTGAGAAGTCAAGGACAATGGCACTGGATTTTGATTCTACTGCATGGACTGACTTTGTGGGAACCTGGTTTGTTTGGATGCTCACCTTTATAGACCTGGATTGAGAGGGGAGGACCTTGGACTTCCCACGGGGCAGGGAACCCTGACTGCTCTTAGGACTAGAGAGGGAGGGGGAGGTGGGGAAGGAGAGGGAAAAGGGAGGCAGAAATTTTTAATAAATAAATAAATAAAATGTTTGGAAAATGAACACGTGTGATCTTCAGGATTTGAATGAACCCTGAGACTCCCTTCTGATATAGCTGTGTGAAGTGTGTCTCAATTATTCCCATGCCTCCACGCCGGTCCAGAGAGATAGTTTATGTTGGGACACCGGACCCCAACAAACTCCCAGTCCTTTGAAAGAGCAGCCAGTGCTCTTAACCACTGAGCCATCTCTCCAGCCTTCCATAGTTTGCCTCTTACTATCCTGAAATAACAGGGAAGCCAGCAGTAGGACAATTACCTCCAAAGTCATTTTCTTCTCATACTAAAAAGCACAGAGAAGGACCTGGCTTGTTTTAGATACTTGATAAATCAATGTTCTTGAGCTTCTATTATTCTTAAGTTTTTAATTAAGGCTTCTTTATGCTGTATCTTGCCTGGGAAAACTTAGGAAATCATCACAATTGCAGGCTATTCAAGCATCATGTTAAAATTGTTTTCTTCTGTGTTAATCTGTTTTTGCACACACGGTGTCACCGTTTTGAAGGTGAATGTCTTAGCTCTTGTACTAGTCAATTACTGATTTTCAGAGACTAAGTGTCAGTGAACATCAGGGCTCAATATTTAAAGAATGGTGAAATAAAATCTTTTTATGTGAGAATGTTCTTATAGTATTTAAAATTACCTAACACATACCAAGTGAGGATTAGTCTAAATAGTAGTGATAGTGTTAAGTCTCCTGGGTGGACTAAGGTAAATGTGGTATTTTTTACACTTATTTACTATATGTGTGGGCACGTGCACATGTCTCAGCACCCCAAGAAGATTAGAGAACAACGGGGGTGGGGGATGATTGTCTCTTTCTACCCTGTGGGTTCTGGGGATTGACCTCAGGTTGTGTCTTCGGTGGCACGCACTTTTATTTACTCTCCGAGCCATCTCACCAGCTCTACACTAGTGTTAGTTGTTAGTCTTGCTTGTTGTGGGTTTTGTGTAACTAAATGTATATTATGAAAAGCCAAAGGTACGTGTTATTTTTTTTAATGTTTTTTGTTCATGCCGCTTGATTTCCAAGGACAAGGATAAGTTGGAGAAGCATCCCTTGGCACAGAGAGCATCCCAGTGTCAAGTCAAACAGAGGAGCTCCCCACCTTTACAACTCCAGGAGCAAGACCAGGAGCCAGAGGCGAGCATGGCTTCTGATGGAGAAGATGGATATTCAAGATCTGCCAAGGGGCAAGTGCTCAGGGGAGTGTTAATGGAAGGAGACAGACTGGAAGGTGAAGATACTGTACAACTTGCTGTACACAAGCTAAGCCAGAAGGTCGGTGAGATCTGCGAAGCTGTCAAAATTACTGTTCACCATGAGGAAGCACGACCACGGGATGACTCTACAGGAACAACACCCCTGAAGTCGGCCACCCCTAAACTGGCCTGGGATATGCTTGGCTGTGAGGGTAGAGACGCCACTGCTGCACTGGCCGCTGTAACACTGCAGACCTACCCCAGACAGAAGGAAGGTGGCCTTAGAAACATCTTTCCATCTCCCTCTTTCTCTCAGGTTCTGGAACACAGTGGCCAATCAGTTACTAAATCTCCCTTAATGAAAAATAAATTAGACTATGAAAGTAACAAGTCCGAAATAGAAGAATTCCTTCATAAAAGCAAGGAGAAATCTTCTGAAACTACAGAAAGTGGAAAGAGAAGAGGTAAATGCCCAGAAGTATGTATGGGCGAAAAGCAAAAGGGCTGTGAATTCAAGAGCCAGTTGCAAAAAACTCTGATACCAAAACGCATGGCCTGGCAATTAGATAGCAGACACATGCGGAAATCCAGTGACTCCAAAAGGCTTTCAGACTCCACAGAAAGGAATCACACGAGCGAATTAAAAAGTTGGAGTGATTCTACCCTTTGCGACACTTATAAGAAAAGTAAAGGCACACCCGACCTGACCCAGAAGCCTCTGCACAGCAACTGCGAGGCCCCAGCCCGAACGGTGGGAACCGCCAGTGCAGCGCCTCCTGGTGGCAGGACAGCAAGCGCTTTGGCGGGTGAAGATCCTCAGGACAGGCTGTCCGACAGTGAGTTCCAAACATTAGAGGAAGAAATCTTGGCCTGGGAGAAGGTACACCTTGAAAACGAGGTAGTTGCTCTTTTGCTGACATGAGTTTCATTCTGATTTTTCTCTTAGTGAAAACTGTTCACTAGTAAAAATCGGGTTATTTAGGCATGACATTGCATAGTCATATATCGGGTTATTTATGCATGATATTTCATAGCCATGTAGACTGCTGTATTTCCTAAGCAATGGAACACAATGCCATGACATCAGCTCCCTAAACCACCTTGAGTGTCATTTGAGACACTAGAAGCACCTGGCATTTTGCAAATATTTAATAAGTAACTGTTGTTTGTTGCTGTTGTTGTTTGGTTGGTTGCTTTGGTTTTTGAGACAGAGTTTCTCTGTGTATCTCAGGCTGTCCTGGAACTCACTTTGTAGGCCAGGCTGGCCTTGAACTCACAAAGATACACCTGCCTTTGTCTCCTGAGTGCTGGGATTAAGGGTATGTGCCACCATGCTGTGTATAAGTAATTGTTCCTAACATTCCTTTTTCTCTAGACGTGAAATACTTTGTGGTCTTTATTAATGAAGAAAGAATCCATGGCAGGTCTAATATTTGCATGACAGTCTTTTTCTAAGTTTATTTTTATTTTAACTGTGTGTATTGCCTACACATATGTCTAGCTGGAGTACAGAAGGTTGTGAACTACCACATGGGTGCTGGGAATTGAACCTGGGTCCTCTGGAAGACCAGCCAGAACTCCTACCCCCGAACCATCTCTCCAGCAGATTTTAGGGGCTAGAGAGATGGCTCAGTGGTTAAGAGCATTGCCTGCTCTTTCAAAGATCCTGAGTTCAATTCACAGCAACCACATGGTGGCTCACAACCATCTGTAATGAGTCTAGTGCCCTCTTCTAGCGTGTGGGCATACATGGAGGCAGAATGTTGTATACATAACAAATAAATATTTTTTAAAAAGCATAAAGGTTTTATTACTACTTTCACATTTTAGTCAACCACTTCCCATCAGCATTTTCCCACTGTATATCTAGGTCATCGAAGCTCCTGTTTATCTAAATGAAGGTTCTACAACCGTGTGCTATGTTCACCAAGAATCTGGCTCTTCTCATCAGAGCAAATATGGAGCTTAACTACCAAAGCAGGGTCGGGGGTTTTCTGGGTATGGTTATACAAGTGCTTGGTAGGGGTGAGGTAAATATGCACTGTGATAAAGTCACCAACCACTACACATTGTGTGTGTGTGTGTGTGTGTGTGTGTGTATGCCTCAAAAACATAGAATTTTTTTCTGTCCTCATCTATATTAAAAGCAGTATACATATAAAATTTTATTTAAAAAATAAATTGTAAGTGTAGTTCCTAAGTGTAGTTCCTTGTTGAGGTGTGCATGTCATTCAGTGTTGGTTCATATATGTGATGGTCATGGACCCCATGATTAATATGCAAGACTTGGTTACCATATAAAAAAAAGTATTGGCTTGATCTACAAACTGTACAGAAGATGCTGCACAAAGATATTCTGGAACTCAACATATACTTAATTTTAAAACAATGTCTTTTGAAATAGGAATTTATTAAGAAGTTATTAACTTTTATTGTCTTTGGATCTGGTTATTTTGGTGTGTGATATTTTTATTGCCAATAGTTTTTAATAACAAAGGAAAAAATAAAGAAAAATAAATAAGAAAACTTCAGATACCTCCTTATGAAATGATTGGAGTTTTGCAGAATAATTATGGATATTAATTTTTTCAGAGTGTCTCTGAGAATCTGCCAAACAAGTGTGAGGGGATCTCTGATGCCACGGGTACCAGGGGGAACTGTCTAGAAAACGGGCACACAGGAGGTAAGAGCAGCTCGTCCTGAGAGCCAGCTAACCGCGTAGGAAGGAAAGGTCACTGGGGCAGGTGTGGATGCAGGCCACAGGCTCTCCTGCCCAGCGAAGGGTGGGGAATTGGAACCCTTCTTCACAAAGATGGAAACCTGGGAGACAGCTTCTAGTCTCAAACAGAACCAAGTTCTCTCACCCCTGTCTTCCCCACCATTGAGATTCCCCTAGAGACCTAAGGTGCCCGGTCACACAGTTGTCTTACAGTTTTGATCATAAATAAATTAAAATGCATGTGGTCGGCCATGTAGGTCCACAATTCAGTGTTGTGGAAACTGTTTTTCTCCTCATTTCAGAGGCTCAAGAGAAGAAAGCAGGGTCTGTCATAAAAAAAAAATCAGAAAAAGACATAGGCCTTTAATATCTTACCAGAGTTTAAAATTCCTTTGGCAATCTTAATGTGAGTTGTCTGATAAGGGCAGCTTGAGGTCGGAGTCCAGCCGGAGCAGTGAACACTTTGGAAGTAGGCCACTGGTTCCAAGGTGGCCCATCTCTTGAGTCACTAGGCTGAACTGTGCGAGCGTGCCTATATTGACCAGCAGATGTGGGACACCCGGTCTGTTTGACTACTGTGTATACCCGCGTATCAGTTAATCCCGTGCCTTCTTAAGTGCTGCGAAGCCCGAGGACACAAGTCCCCATGCCAGTGGTAAATACCTGTAACGCTTTTAAAATCAGACTTCTTCCTGAGAGTGTCTAGCCTTGCCAACTCTGCCCTGTTGTCTGGGATCTCTGACACTCGTCTTTAGGCAAGTGTGTGTCTTGCAGCTCCTGGTCCTGCCTCGCCCTATGCTGTTCTCTGGGCAGATCATTTGTTTCTCTGAAATCCAGACTCAAGCATCAGCTCCACAGCAGTCGTCTGCAAAGTCTGTTTCAGCCTTGAGAGTTCAGTGCCTGAAGCTTGTATAAATTTGTGGAATAAACTAGGCATAGGGACGTGCCTTTTAGACCCAGTGGGTCTTTGTGAGTTTGAGACAGTTGGCCCGTGCTGCCACCAAGTAACTTGCAGCATGCTGCCCATAAACCCCATTTAAATGCTTGGCCTCCTGAAAGACCCAGAGTTTGCGCTGGCAGCACGGCACAGAAAGCTGCCATTTCAAAACTGCACAGCTTTTTTTCTGCTACTGCTTAATCAGGAAAACCTCTCTTAAAGGAGCTGCGGCACACTGCCAGCAAAATGCTGGCTACCAGGAAGCCGTGCTTTTTGTTCTTTTGTGTTTAAAATTACTTTTTAAGCTTTCTCGGTTTCACATGGATTTAACTGGCATACATTGGAGCGCCAATTTGTTGTAGGAGGTTGCTTGTTTGTTCCCAACTGCTCAGCCCAAAATAACCACACAGGAACCATATTATTTGCAGTATTGTTTATCCAATAGCTTAAGCGTATTTCTGTCTAACTCATATCTTAAATTAACCCAACTCCATTAATCTGTGTATCTCCATAAGGCTATGGCTTATTGGGTAAAGTTCTGGCATCTGTCTCCAGTGGGGCTATATAGCTTTTCCTGACTCTGCTTTCTTTTGCCCAGCATTCAGTTTAGTTTTCCCTGCCTAGTTCTACTCTGCCAAGCGAGTTCTTTATTAACCAATGGTATTCACAGCATACAGAGGGGAACCCCACATCAGCAAATGAAACATTCATATGCATAGTAAATAAATAAAAATATTTTTTTAAAAAGAAATTAATACAAATGTATGTATGTACACACGTATGTGGTGTGTGACTGGGTGTGTTATATGTGTGTGTACACGTGTGAAGGCCAAAGGTTGATGTGTAACAACTTACACTATTGTTCCCTACCTCATCTTCTTTTTCTCTTTAATACCTGTTTATCTTGTGTACAGGGGGAGGGGAGAGAGGGAGAAGGAGAGAGAGAGAGGAATGTGCCATAACACACATTCGGAGAACAACTTGTGGAAGTTGGTTTTCTGCTTGTATCACACGAGTGTCAGGGATCACCTGGCAGGAGCTGCCTTTACTGCTAAGCCATCTTGCTGTCCCAACTTCACCCACACTTTCTCTTTTCTTTCTTTCTTTTTTGTTTGTTTGTTTGTTTTTCAAGATAGGGTTCCTCTGCAGGACCATCTGGCTGTCCTGGAACTTGCTTTGTAGACCAGGCTGGCCTTGAAACTCACTGAGATCCACCTGCCTCTGCCTTCTGAATGCTGGGATTAAAGGCGTGCGCCACCATCACCTGGCCCCACTTTATCTCTTGAGACATCATCTTTCATTGAGCCCAGAGTTCATCACTTATCCACAGTGGCTGGCCAGCATGCTAGGGTTAGACTTGTGCCTTTAAGTAGCTACCAGGAATTTGAACTCAGGTCCTCGTGCTTGCTCGTCAGGCCCTTTACCAGCTGATCTAACTCAGGATTGAGTACTAGTAAATACCTTGAGTTCTGCTATTGGAGACAGGTAAACTATAAGGGGGTTCACAGGAAAGACGCCTGCCCATCTGTGCAGTCATCATCTGTGGGACCTGGACTGCAGCAAAGAAAGGGAATCTGTCTCAAAATGAACAAAAACACATGTGATATAAGGAGTAGGGTGTTCAAATATAAATGTGCAGAAACATCCTATTAATTTTGAAATCAGTGATTGATAACACAGGTTGTCTAAAATGTATTATTTTAAGACAAAAAATGTTGTGTTTGTGTGTTTGTTTCCTGCTCTCCTGTTTTAATGTTTTTCTTTTGAGAATTTTGTTCTCAAAGCCAAAGCTTTGGGTTTGTAGAATCTTTCCAACGTGGCTGATGAGAAAAAGCTCTCCCCTGAAACTGTTGTCGGGTTTGGGATAGTCACAGTTTCTGCCATTTAGGAGAAGGCTTCATCAAGTCCAATATTGCAAAAGGGGGTGTGTGCGAGTGTGTCTTTGTGTATCTCTGTATGTGTGTTCTTGTGTATGCGTGTTCATGTGTATGTGTGTTCTTATGTATGCATGTTCATGTGTATGTGAGCACATGTATGTGTGCATAGAATAGTTTGCTTATAAAATATTTTCTAATAAAGGAGCCACCTGCGTATTAAGCCCGATTTAAATTTTTAATTTGGAAATTGACAATAACCATTATTCTTTAGTGTTTTATCCTTCTCATCTCTTTTTAAGTGCTGCTCTTCTAAGTGAGTAGACTTTTAAGAGACTTGTATATGTGTTACAGCAGAATCGGACTCTGAGGCGACCACCCAGTCAGAACCAAAGGGTCTTGACGGCAGTGAAAATACCCAGCTGCAAGTATGCACAATTTAATATAGATTCTCATTCGTGTTCCTTTGTTAATAATGTGCCGTGCTCCAAACTTTATAATAACCCTTCAAAAGCAATTTTTGTTTATTTGTTTTTGTTTTTCAAGACAGGGTTTCTTTATATAGCCCTGGCTGTCCTCAGACTCCCTCTGTAGACCAGGCTGAGCTCGAACTCACAGAGATCCACCTGACTCTGCCTCCTGAGTGCCGGGATTAAAGGCGTGTGTGCCGCCACATCTAACGAGTTATAAAGCAGTACACTCTCAGAGGCTACGGACAGTTAAATGTGCTGCTTGAGAACAAGCATTTTTCTGAATATCCCCGCTTCTGTGTGGAGCGTCCTCTCAGGATAGAGAGAAGTCAGTTCGGAGCTACAGACCTGTGTAGCTGAACTTCCACACACCTAGCAATGATGGCTACTGTTGGAGATCATTCCCTGTGGCTTAAATTTACTCTACCATATCTGCAATAGCTAATGGGAAATTCAAAGAACTAATACTGTCTCTTAGTCGATAACTGTCTTCAGCATCTGTACTGAGGGAGAGAGGCTTGACAATAAGCCCATACTGCTGGGAGAGAGCTCACCGTAGTCAAGGGCATAAGCTGTATCAATCGCCCCTTTCTGTGTTGTCAAATCAGTGTCAAATGCATGCTGTGGTGCATTTTAATTAAATCTGTTCTTAGAACATTTCCCTCATGTTCACAATGCCTACTGCCCCCATCCCACTCCACCCCTCCCATCTCCCTGCCACCCCTATCTACCTCCATTCCCCCAAATCTCTCATATCCAAGTCTATTCATGCTGTTTTGTGATCCATTGAGCTTTACAAGGGGCATCTGCATGACCATGTTTCCAGAGCTGTTGATTCTTGGTGGGCTCAGCTTTGGGTACACAACTAAAGACCATGATTTCCCTTCTCCCGACAGCTAGCAGTAAAAGGTAGACTCCCTGAGCCCCTCCCTCTTCCGTGACTGATTATTGCTTGGTCAGTCTTGGGTAAGCCCAATGCAAGCAGCCATAGCTGTTGCAAGTTAATGATTGCATAGGTCGTGTTGAGTCTGGGATGACATTTTGTAGTTGCCACCCTATCTTTCGGCCTTACATTCTCTCTGCCTCCCTTTCACAGTGTTCCCCAAGCCTTGAAGCGGGTGCTCTGAATGCCTTGTTTAAGGCTGAGCCCTCAGCAGTCACTTATTCTCAGCACCTTGGGAAACTTTTGCATTACTACCCACTGATCGGTGTGAGGATGGCCCCTCTGACGAAGGCTGAGTGGCTTTGTCCATGGTAGCATAGATTGAGACTGCAGCTGAGGCTGTGTTAGCCACTGTCTCCTGTGGCTCTTAGAGCATATTATTCCTTACCACTTGAGCCCATGTGGCTGTACAGCAGTGTGTGCTATGCGATTAAAATTACAGTTTAGTAATTTGTTTCTGCGTGACTGGTGTTGGTGCTGTGACTTTAGTAAGGTAAAGCTTCGGGTCCAGTTACCTGTCAGACAGTGGCCTGAAGCTACAGGCATGGCCCCTTTTTGAGGTCCAGTGAGGTCAAATATTTTTATTCGAGGACACATTTGCAATGTTAAAAATGAGTAATTCATCTTTGGTAAATTAACACACAGAAGATTATTAATAATTTAACTCGTAATTGTTTTGTTCAAACAACAGTGATTAACATAACTTGTTCAGTTCATATTGGGTAAGTAAATTATTTTTCTCTTTTCAAATTACTTTTTTTAAATTACCACCCGGTGATTTCTGATATCTAGACATATGTTAAGAGACTTAAATGTAAAATATATATTTATTTCTAACTGTTTTTCTCATCTATATGGTGTGGCTCCCGAAGCATAAAGTCCTCTCACAGACATGCCCCCAAACACAAAACCCACGTGCAGCTCCAGCCAGGCCAACCCACCCTCAGCATCAGCAGGAAAGCACACAAAGCCATCCTCCCGCTTTGCACCGGGAGAAAATGTCTGAAGGGCCCCAAATAAACAAGAAATCTGATGGAGAGTTTGCGCCTGTCCATCCGGAAGTTCCTGCTGTGAAAGAGCATGAGAAAGCGTCCATCACTCGAGACCTAACGGGGAATAAGGGAGAGCCAGACAAGCGCAGTCGTGAGTTACAGCACACAGCTGGGGATGCGTTTGAAAACGTCTGTCCTGACGAAGAACCACTTCCCGGTAGCCATACGGGAAGAACTCAGTTCCAGGTAATTACCTGTAACTTCAGCAAATAATCCGCCAAATGTGAGGGTAAAGGTGTGTCTGGAGGGCTGTCTGACTTTCCTAACCTTGAGAACAGGTACACTGAGCACATCCTCTGTCTCCACCACGTTCTTGGTTTGAGCATGCGCTTGCCAGCCGTGCTGCCCGTTTGCTGAGTGATTAGAAGCAAACACTGAACACACTTTTCTCACAAACAAGGGGATGCTTGTGATTCAGGAAGACAAGTCTATAAAGTCCCCGGAAGTGTTAGAACCGAAATGTAAGGAAGTGACATGCTTGATACTGGCGCGCTAAAAGCAGAAGCTGGAAATGAAATATGAGACAGAGCCCAAGCCTAGTAAACCAAAGGGGCAGAGGCTTACATACTTCAAAGAAAGGAACCCTATGATTGAGATTAAACAAAACACAGGGTCTGTAGAGATGGCTTGGTGGTCAAGAGCACTGGTTACTCTTTTAGGGAATGCAAATTCAATTCTGGCACCCACATGGCAGCTTATAACCATCTGTAACTCCAGTCCCCAGGGATTTGACACCTTCTTCAGGCCTGCTTGGGTGTCAGGCATGTATGTGGTGCACAGACACACATGCAAGCAATAAATACACATAATACCCATAAACATAACATAATAGTTTTAGTCACAGTGTTTCTGCAACTAAAGACAGTGGTAAGCTAATATAATAATTCAGGGATTGCCAAACTGCTGCTGCGGCAAGTGGATCTCTGTGAGTTCAAGGCCAGCTGGTGTTGCAGAATGAAACCCTCACTTAAAGAAGAAAAAGAAAGGAAATTTTCAGTTTCAAAAGGATGCTGCTAATCTTGTTTTCAAAAACTTGACTTCACTGTTTTTTGCTGGTGAAAAACTTCTGTATAGATTGGCATGGTGGTCCACGCCTTTTACCCAGCACATGGGAGGCAGAGGCAGACAGTCTCTGCAAGTATGATTCCAGCCTGGTCTACGTATCTAGTCCAGGACATTCAGGGCTATATAGAGAGGCTAAGTAGAGGTGGTTTCTACTGTCTAAGTAATAAAAGTTAAAGAAAATATTTTCAGAATGATTTCTCACTAATTGATTCTAATCTTTCTTTACAGTAGCATATGACCTAGAAAATCAATGTATCCCGTGTCATGTGATCTTTTGACTTAAGATAGACCTAGTTTTACCATACTGTCTAGCTTTTGATAGGTGTCCTTGCATTTGCTTAAGGATAAGTTACTTGGTGGGAACCAAGCAATGAATGAGAAGAAATAATAATGTCTTTAAGTGTGACAAATTCACACCAGCACAGTCTTGAGCTTTGATGTGTACAAGCTGGATGTTTCTGTTCAGACTGTGGGGAGCTGGAATTCCCACATAACTACTTAGTCAAACTTTGAGAGCAGGTATATACATGTCCACAGTTTCACGTGAATCAAAAAACTGTCCGTGTTAATGCGTCCCATACCTGTTCTTTATTTAGTAAAGCTGGCTTCAGAATATATGATCTTATATCCATACAAAAACATGCATCATCAGCCAAAAATATGTTTGATCCAGATTAAAATGCTGAGTTCTGAGATACATAAAGATTCGTAAAAATCTGGAGATATACTGGAAAAAATAAATGTAGACAAGTCATTTTCCCTCCTAGAAAATATTAAAATATTTCTGTAAATTGGCAGCATCCTCGTGCAGCTCCCAGGGCTGACCTGAGCGGGGCAGGGAGGGGACTGAAGAAAAGACAGATTCTGGAGGGAGCGTCTCCAGGTCGTCGTCGGAGGAGAGCGCTATAGCGACTCACTGAGAACATTCACATTCAGGTTCCTCAGGATGGTCTGCCATCTTGAGCCTAACCGGGGAAGCTTTGTCACTCCCGTGGGCTGAGGCATTGGACATGGCATGCCGGCGTCTACAATACACTTTCACCCGTGTCTACCATGCAGATTCACTCGGGATTTCATTCCCTCAGGGCTTCCTCCGCTCTCGCACAACTCGCTTCTCTTTCATCCAGCTGACTGAGCTGTTCGGTCACTTACCTGACGAATACTGTGGGACTGCACTGTCTTGTGGTGTTGTGAAGTGCTACACGGTGACCCCTAAGAGCTTTGAATGAATGGTCGCAGCTAAAGTAGGAACGGCGAGTACGTCCCACTCTTGAAATATCACAGTTGGTACCTGTCCTGCTTGTGAGACTGATCTTTTCCAGAGTGTGAACCACTCAGCTCGCAGCCTTGCCTACTGCTCAGCAGCAGGACTGGGCACCTCTGTTTCAGTCAGCAGCTTCACGTCTTTTGCTACCCCAGTCTCCAAGTGATTTAAAAAAAAAAATGTCAACTTTAAACGGGGAGAGAGTGGCTGTGCAGGGAGGAGACGCTCGTTTCTGCTCCTTATACCCATGATGGCACATTCTCAGAATCTGAGTGTCCCATGTGCCATCCCAGCAGTAAACCCTAAAGATGGTGTGTTTTCCCTTGTCCTTTACAGTTCTTCCACATCAAACAGGCAGTGAAAATGTTAGATGGCAAAGAGAAACAGAATTAAGAGTGTCCGTTTGGGGGGCTCAGATAGAGCTTATTTAGTGGGAGTATTGGGGAAGGTGTAAGGTAAGGGGTTATGGGGAGAAGAGAGAAAGAGGGAGAGAGGGACAGAGAAAGAAAAGAAAGAGGAAGGGGGACGGGAGTGGCAAAGGCTGCCTCTTCAGAAGGACAGACAGAGGAGGAGAGGAAGCTGGAGATCAGCTTGCCTCCGTGGTGGGAAGTGGGGGGGAGACTATGGTGGGCAGAGTTTGTCTCTTAAAGGGACAGGGTACCAGGTGACAGGCCAGGCCCGCACATTTATAATTACAACATTTCCATCTTCCTCTTATAATAAAAGGGCAAGGAGTTAGGCATGGTAGGTTAAGGGAATGAGGGCGCTGAGTTCTCAAGATAGCTTCCTGCTGATTTGTAGACGTCAGAGTCTTGGGGAACCTGAGAAAGCTGGGCTACCAGTCACAGGTATCTGGTTGCTTCACTCCTGTCCAGGACTTGTGGTATGGAACTTAAAAATCTCTGGTTTATTTTTTAGATCAAACAGAAAAAATAAAGCAGAATTTACAAAAAGTATTCGAGTCTCTAATGCTAAAATTAAATGAAGCAAAAATCTTTTTAAGAGATGTATCTATTTTTAATTTATAAATATTTTGCCTTCACATATGTATGCACACCGCATGTGTGTGTGTGGTGCCCTCAGAGGATAGAAGAGGATGTTGGATCCCTCGAGACTAGAGTTACAGACTTTGTGAGCTGCCATGTGGGTGGGTGCTGGGAACTGAACCAAAGACCTCTACAAGAGCAGCAAATGCTCTTAACCCCTGTGCCATTTCTCCAGCCCTACAAAAAACTTCTTATGCACTAAAATCATGCAGTGAAAATAAGAGCCACATGATGAAAACAATAAACGTTAGTTTTCTTGAACAGTAACATTTTTCCTTGCTTAAACTTGCCTCAAAGGTTGAAGAAATGAGCAAGAAGTGGCCGAGTCTGGAATTGGAAGTCTCCGAGACTCTGTGTCTTGTGGTCCCTGACTGTAGTGACAGTGGGTTGACTGTCAGAAGGAAAGATGGAAGGACCCAGAAGCTGCTTCCTACTGAAGAGAAAGATGAGCTTGCTAAGTAAGACTGTAGGAAAACTTCATAGTTAATTATCGTTCTTTCCTAAAAATTAACCCTGATTCAGGTTAATATGCATGATTGACAACTTTTAAACTTCTACTACTACTGTTCAGGTTCTGCTTGGTTCTCAGAAGTACATAAGTAATTTGATAGTATTTATCCAGTTAAATTGATAAGCATTTTTTAATCAGAAAAGGTTGACTAATGTGAGTGATGATCCTTCACACACTGTTGTTTAATGACGTGGCTGGGTAGAGTAACTAGGGCGATTGTGTATTACCTGTATCAACATTTTCTTTGATGTCATCCTTTGCAGCTAAAAATCTTCATTTCTAGAGTAGGGTCCTTCTGAGACTGGAAAATATGGCTTGAAAGCACATAAAAACCATGTTTTTTATTTCTTATATGTTATACACAACTTTATTACATATTATAGACATATTTACTACATATTGCATACAACACAAATAGGTGGCTACACAGTCATTATATAATGTGAACACAAGGGACATATGTATTAAAATGTTTGTATAAATATTTTACATATCTGTAAGTATGTATGAGCACTTTTGTTAGAATCATTAGCTCAGAAATAGTGTACTTATCAATGAGGATGCATTTATAGTTTTATGTTCACAAAATACTGTAGTATGCAACTATTTAAGAAATGAGCTCTGGACCAGAGAGATGGCTCAGCAGCTAAGAGCACTGGCTACTCTTACAGTGGACCCAGGTTCAATTCCAATCACCCACACAGCAGTTCACAACTGTCTGCAACTTTAATTCCAGGGGACACAGCATCCTGGCATTCCCGGGCACCAGGCATGCAAGTGGTGCCCAGACAGACATGCAGGCAAACACTTACACACTTCAAATAAATGAGTTGTTAGTCTGAATGGTGAAGCCGCGATGTTCACTGGTCTCCTGTCTTGTTAACAGTGCCATAAGCCATTGAGTTTCCCTTCCTTGCTCATCACATGTTAGGGATCCACCCAGACTCTCATTTGAGTCTGAGTGCTGCTGAGGGATTGCACATGTATCCATGTGTGTCAGCATGTCACTGTACCAGGTAGAAGCTACAATAAATGGTATAAAGTGTGTTTAGTATGTTCATTGGGACTAGAAGACATTAACACTCCTTTCTAGGTATGATGGAACATGTGGCTCAATAGTTTGGAATCTGCTGCGGATGATAAGCAAATGGGTGTGACTCTGTTCCTCACTAACTTTATTTGGAAGGTGCGGGAATGACCCAGGGACTGAGTTCTACCTAATGTACTTGGTGCCCTGATTTGACTTCCCAGCATAGCAAAGCAAGCAACCATTAAACCCAAAGACCAAAGAGCAGCTTCCTTGTACCATGGGTGCTGCCCATTGGCAAATTTGCGTATTTAAGCGAAACAAGGTGCAATCAAAACTCTGGACCCTGTTTCTAAAAGTACCTATAGGCGTGCTATCATCCCTTTTTTGTTGTTTTGTTTTGTTTTGCTTTGCTTTGCTTTGTTTTGTTTTGTTTTTGAGACAGGGTTTCTCTGTGTTAGCTCTGGCTATCTTAGAACTCACTGTGTAGACCAGGATGGCCTCAAACTCACAAAGATCTGCCTGCTTCTGCCTCCAAATGCTGCAATTAAAAGTGTATACTACCATACCCGGCTGTAATCCCTTTTAAAGAAAATTTATTTCAGTGTTTATCACTGTGTTATCACAGTGACTGCATGCAAAATTTATAAAAGTTGAATTTTGCTAGGTGATGGTGGCACATGCCTTTAATCCCAACACTTGTGGGACAGAGGCAGGTGGATATTTGTGAGTTTGAGGCCAGCCTGGTCTACAAGAGCTAGTTCCAGGACAGGCTCCAAAGCTGCAGAGAAACCCTGTCTCAGAAAAAAAATGTTGAATTTTGTTTTCAGAATGACTTGTAACTTGTTGTTATGGAGTTGTTATCTTAGCCACCATCTTTCTCTCTCCTGACTCCATGTGTGCTCCCTCTCCCTCTAACATTACTGAGTCTCTTTAGAGCTGACTATCCGTGCCTGGGTGCAGGGCCATCTGCTGAAGGATGGAGGGGCAGCCTTTCAGGTGCTGCACCTCTGAAGAAAGCTAACTGTTCCTCCCTCAGAAGCCATCAACAGCCAATAGCTTCTCAGCTTGGCACGGGACTCCATGAGCTTCCCCCCAAGCCATGCTGGGACTGTGCTTGATTTAATCTTGTACAGGTCCCTTGCACAGTTGGCAATGTGAATTCATGTATGGTGTGGCCCTGTCATGTACAGCAAATATTGTTTCCCTGCAGGTGTCTACTCCTTCTGACCCATACAATCTGTCTGTCCCCTCTTCTACAATGTTTATTGTTTTGATGATAGCTGCTCTCTCTTGGGTGAGATGAGCCTTCAATGTAGTTATGAGTTTCTTTTTATTTTATTTTTTTTGTGTGTGGATGTTCTATCTGCATGTATGTGAGTACAGTGTGTGTGTGTGTGTGTGTGTGTGTGTGTGTGTGTGTGTGTGTGTGTGTACCTGGTGCCCTCAGAGACCAGAAGAGTGTGTTATATGTCCTAGAATGGAATTGCATATGGATATGGCTCACCATGTGGGTGCTGGGAACCAACCTGGGTCCTCTGCAAGAGTTGCAAGTGCTCTTAACTGCTGAGCCATCTCCAGTCCGTGAGTTTTATTTTGTTGATGGGGAAGGATGATAAATAAATTTTGTATAATTCTTGGCCATTTACTCTTCCTTTTAGAGCTATATGATCCATTCATTTGTCCAAGTGCTGATTAAACTTGATAAGTTTGGCTTATTATTATTGCGTGTGTGGTGTGTGTGTATGTGTGTAAGCCCACGCTTGTCCTGACGTGAGCAGAGGTTAGAGGACAGCCTCCAGGAGTCCTCATTTCCTGCATGTTGGCTCCACACCCTAGTAACAATTCTCTTTGCTGTGCAGACGCTCGCAAATCTCAAGCAACCCCAGCTGTAAATTCTTGTTACTACTTCATGAGTCTGTGTCATCAGAGTCTCTTCAGAAATGTCTGTTTTCCTGTTGTTCTGGCTGCTTCAGGCATGCCAGGTCTCGTGGTCGGGTGTCTGATTCTCTTAACTGCATGCTGCGCAGGGGGAGACGTGGGCATCTGGTTTTCTTCCTCTAAGGTAGAAGCCCGGTTGTCCTGGCACTGTTTATGGAAGAAGCTTCCTTTCCCCAGTGGGTGCTGTGGGTGCCGTTGTCTGCACTTGGGTGGCAGTGGCTAGGGTTTCTTCTGGGTCCTCCATTCTATTCCATGGGTTTATCTCTCTTTTCCGTTGTCAGTGTGATGCTTTTCCTGCTGTTGTGGCTCCACGGTATGTTTTGAAGTAAAGTATTGTAACACCTTCAGCATCACCTTTTCTGCCCAGGGTTTTACTCTTCCAGGGTATTTCCTGATTCCTCATCATTTTAAACTTTTCTCTATTTCTGTGAAGAGCGTCTTAAAAATTGTATTAAGACTGCATCAAATCTGTGTGTCCCTAGTTACTGTCATACAGCCCTTTGCACAGCATTATTACTGTCAACCAGGAACACAGAGGCTTTTTCTGTATGGAAACAATATGTCTTCCCAATGAGAAATCACTCCACAACCTAGAGATCAGTAAAGAAAACACTCTAACCATCATGCGCAGCTAGATCTGCACAGTGCACAGAAAGAGTCAGCCCACACAGAAACCCCACTGGAGCCAGGAGGTGACACACGACTTTAATCCTAGCACTTGGGAGGCAGAGACAGGCATGCCTGTATGAGTTTGAGGTCAGCCTGTCTACAAAGCGAGTTCTAGGACAGACATGGTTCCACAGAGACTCTGTCTTAGAAAAACAAACAAACAAACAAACAAACAAAACATCGACTTATGTAGTTTCATGGCCCCAAGTTACACTTTGAGTAATTAAATGTGTTCTATAGAGAAAGAATATTCAAAGTTTAATTATTTGGATAAATGAGAAAATTTACAATGTAAAAAACTATTGCATAGTCATCCCAAGACAGACCAGGGCTGTTTGTCCTGCCCAGCTGTTACCCAGGGTCCTCCTTCCCATCTAGATGTTAGCCAGGGTCCTCCCTGCTGCCCAGCTGTTAACCAGGGTCCTCTCTCCTGCCCAGCTGTTAACCAGGGTCCTCCCTACTGCCCAGCTGTTAACCAGGGTCCTCTCTCCTGCCCAGCAGGATCACACTGATAAGAGACCTAGGAATTCTTCCTTGGCCAATCCCACTTTGTGTGACTCAATATTTTCTAAGCAAGTTTAGTGGATCCTTTTAACATCAACATATTAATCCGTTTCTCCTGTTTCGTTTCCATCTTATATCATGTCTTTGTTCTTTCTTGTTGGGCTGCTCTTCCCATTAAAAAGGTGTGTGCTCTTCCCATTAAAAAGGTGTGTGTCCCTTGAGGCAATTGGAATGGGATTGTTTTCCTGATTTCTTCTTCAGCATTTTACAAACACATTGTGTACAAACGGAATAGTGTACAATAAGTTGTTCCTCAATAAGCATCCGTTACATCAGTGAATGGCATTTCCCCTGGGACTGCTTTAAACACTTGGTTAACTATATTTTTAAAATTCTTCCCTTGGGTCAGTTTTGATCATCTAAATTTGAAGACATATGCGTTTTGATTGTTCTGGCACACGATGGTTCATAACCTACATTAAATCTGCAGACATATGCGTTTTGATTGTTCTGGCACATGATGGTCCATATTACATTAAGTCATTTTCTCACAGGAAAATCCAGCACTGCAGCCATGAGTTTTGGTTCTTTGGCTGATATTTATGATAGTTTCAACTATGGCAAACTGTGTTGAATAAATTCCAAAGTTTGTTTGTATTTTACTAAAACCAAAGGCCAGCAAGATGGCTCAGCGGGTAAAAGTGTTTCCTTGGCAAGTTTGGCGACCAGAGTTCAACCCGGAAGCCTGCGTCAAGGTGGGAAGAGGAAACCATTGCTTCAGATTTGCCCTCTACCTCCACACTCTCCGCGGCACAGCAATTGCTACCAGGGTCTGGGGAAGCGTGGCCTTCACAGCTTGGCCAACCTGTAGGGTGTCAGTGGCCGGTGGCATTTGGAATTCAGCCAGCATTTAGAGACCAATCCTAAACAGGGGAACTGGCTGGTGTCTGCAGGGACACAGGTTTTTCAGTCTGCTGATTGGTTGGCACTTACAGCGTGGTTTCAGGAAATGTCGCAGTGACTGACAAGGAGTCAGTGGCTCTGGCTGGCCGAGCAGAGGACAAACTATCTTAGGGAGCTAGTGGTAAACAGGTTTGTCCCTTCCCGATTTTTGAGGAAATCTTATCCAGATGTTTTCTATTTGGTTCTTTTCAGTAAAATTTTCAAAGTGAAAATAATGATGCCTGCTCTGATTATAAAATGGTTATTGGAGTTTGGCTCTGGATGAGTTAATGACCACCCTCCTGAGTCTCTACTGGTCTTATAGGTAGGGACTTGGGTTTTATCAGAAGAGCAAGCTACACATAAAGAAAAATTATGCCTGAGGTTAGCCTTTAGAACCTTCAGGGCTGTAACATACTAACTATTAGTGAGAATGCCCCAGTGGCAGTGTTCAGCGTCTTCACACACTTCTGTAGGTGTGTGCCAGTCACAGCACGTGAGATGGCATAGAAAAGAGAATTACGGCAGTCTACAGATAAATACAGCCCTTTTAAATAGGACTAGAAACTTGGCATGAAGTGTACAAAATTAGTCAAATTATTTTACACAAAATGAAAACAAATCACTATATTGTGATATTTGAATTGTGTATATTGCTGTATTTTCAAATTAAGGTTTTACTCCCAAAGATAGCTCCTTGGTTTTTCACTTTATCTTACATGTCTTGTGGTATTGTGATATTTAAAATTATTATATTTTAAAGCAAAATCTAATTTAGCACCTGCATAATTCCAGCGAGTACCAGTCTTTTAGCATGGCATTCCCGTTAATGTGGTATTCATCTCTAGGTACTTATGTCTTGTGTTTTAGGTTTTCCTGTTTAAGTTTATAGTTAATATCTAGTCTCTGTGCTTACTTTCTGTCTCATAACTAAAATTTGTTTTCTAAATTTGTTTATTTCATATGTATGATGTTCTCCTGCATATATGTGTCATGGATGTACAGTGCCCATGGGAACCAGAAGATGATGATGAATCCCCTGGAGGTAGAGATACAGGTGGTTGTGAGCCGCCATGTGGGTGCTTGGGATCAAACCTGAGTCTTATGCAGAAGCAATAAGAGTTCTCACCTTCTCAAGTCCCTATAGCTAATTTTTCCACAATTTTTGCCTGATAAGCTCTTTTGTGTTTCCGAAAAGCCTTGCATATGCTCAGACATAACTCTTGATTCATGAACTTGTAATCCGAGGTTTGCCTAAGTTAAGATGACTTTCCTCGTCATTACCTGGTATTTTCTGGTTTTACAAGTACTAAATAGATTCAGATGGAGAAGAGCTAAACTGTTGCCTTTTTCAGCAGGTGTACTAGAAAATGTTGATGATTTTGACTTTTTCAAAGGAGTGTTTCTGGCTCATGTACGAAAGAAATAAAGAAAATTGGAAGGGAAACATGGACCCCCAGACAACCCGTGATCACAGCAGCATTTGAGAAGTCCCTTCCAGAAGCTGCTGGCCTGCTGCTGGCAAAGGAAGGCCACCATCTGAGTGAAGTAGGTCGGGATGAAGGAAGGTAAGAGCTGTAAATTCTTTCCCTCCTGTGAAGGAATGCTAATAGGGGCTCCTTTTCCAAAATAAAGCAGAGTCATTGCACTAGAAATAAGGTGTGCCTCCCCGTCTGTGCTGCTGGAAGATGAAGGTGCAGACACGTGACGTTAGTAAATGACTATCAGCGAAGCCAGACAGTGCATGCACAGGAGAGGCAGGTCCCTGGGGAGCTTTTCCTCAGGAAAGCAGCAGAGAAGTAGGTGGCAACTGGTAAAGAAGGGGGTGGAGTTTAAAAACATTTTTCCTTTTCTCTCTTAAAATGACCCTCTTTTAGGAGATCTTTGCATGAGGATGGAAGAGATCTAGCATAGAAGGCAGTGAATATGGCTGAAATTTGTATGACAAAGTATTTGAAACCTTGATACATTGTATCAGGCTAAGAGTAAACTGTAATTTGAGCTTGTATAAATGTAAACACATTTGTGCACACACACACACACAGAGAGAGAGAGAGAGACAGAGACAGAGACAGAGAGAGACAGAGACAGAGACAGAGACAGAAGAAAAAGATTATTCATGCGACTCTATTTGCCAATGGGAATGACAGCGTAAAGTGAGGCTGTGGAGGTGGAGAGATGGATGAATCTGTGGCTAAGCGTGGCTGCTCATGTAAAGAACCCTAGTTTGGTTCCCAGAACCCACACAGGTGGGGGCTTACAGCATCCTGTAACTCAAGCTCCAGGACGTCAGGTGCCCTGCTGTGACCTCCTGGGACACCAGCACTAACGTGCACATACCCCACATAGACACAGACACACTTGGGCACACACGCGTCATACACGTGCGCACATACACACGCACTTTATACATATATTTATATTTCAATCAGATGTTAAAATAAGGCTGGAAGTTATAAAACAGCTATAAAACAACTCTAACTTCTATAAAATAGAATATCCAGATGTTCAAGGCATGCTAAGAACTAAATCATCTTCTGTGTGTTTTAAGAACCATCGTGAGGAGCTATAGTTTGTATGCTGCCCTTGATTGAGGTTTCTCCGTTTAAAGGTTGTTGTATACATTCTGGTGATGAGCAGAGATGTTACTCAGGTGCAGTAGCCAAGTTAACTGTTAACGGTGTGGCAGAGATTATTGTTGTTGAATAATAAAGTCATGACATATGGAACTGTCTTTCATACATGAATTGTACAAACAGTGCTGCTGCTGTTCATTCAGAGCTGAGCGGGTATCTAAGGGGCGATGAGCAGTCACTTAGACTGATAAAGACACATGTTGAAGTATTTTTTAAATGTAACTTAATTTCATTGAAAATAGAATGACAAATTTGCCTTCTTCCCCTTACCCCCTAATTCTGTTAGTTAATTCCTGTTCTTCAAGCTCTGCTGACAGTGTTGAACCTAAGGCCTCATGCATGCTAAGCAAGCCCTCTGCCACTGAGCTCCGTCTTTCTTGCGACTTTTTTTAACCATCAAATAGTCTGCCTAAGCCTCCCAGACTGACCTGGAAATCATGCTGTAATATGTGGCTGGTTTACAAGCCTCTGACACCAATGCAGAGTTCAGCCTTTGTGGTTAATTGCAAAATTCTGAAGCTACTGTTTGTAATGTTAACCACAAATGGCATGCAAACCTTGTTACATCACTTCATAAATCCTGTTGTGTCCACAGCGGGTCGTGGCTTGTGGCATTTATAATTTAAACAATGTCATCCAACCCCAGCAGTTCCGAGGTTCCCGTCTGAAGCAGTCGGCTGTCTGTGTGCACTCACACAGTGGCTGGCCTTCCCCTGTCTCCATCCTTTCCAGATTATCTCGTACAGCATCACACAGACCGTGAGGGACAGAACAGCGTGACACAGAGAGTGCTTAGAGTAACATGCACCAACTGCAATGCAGACGGAGAACACTAACTCCAGTTATAAAGAAGGGGGTCTCTGGGTGGGAGGCATGGCTCAGTAGGGAGGGAGGGGCTCTCATTAGTAGGCAAGAGGACCCAGATTTGAGTTCCAGTTTAGAACGGTTTGTAACTCTAGTCCCAAGGAATCCAAAGCCCTTTTCTGGCTTCTGGGGGCTCCAGGCACACATGTAGAGAAGTAGATGCAGGCAAACCATTCATGTGCTTTGAATAAATAGCTAAATAAATATTTGAAAAGGGGATTTCTCTGAGAAGAGAACTTAAGTAATGCTTTCTAAATACGTTTTACTGTCTGTAATTCTGGTTTTGTCTTTTTGTGACAATAAGACTAAAACCTTATGCTAAAATTATAATTTTTTTCTATTTGGCTTTACTGAAAACTTTGATCCAAATGTAATTCTTCATTACAATATTAGTAGTGTTCTAGTTTCATTTCTGTTGCTAGGATAAAACACCCGGGCATCAGGAACTTAGGGGAGAAAGGACTGATTTTGATCTCCCAGTCCAGGCTACCGTCCATCTCTGAGGAATTATCACAGTGCTAGGAGCCTAGAAACCTAGTCCCATCACACCCAGAGTCCAGAGCAGAGAGGAATGCACGTGCAGTTCCTTGTAGTCAGCCCCCTCTTGATATGTCTACAGTCTAGGATCCACTGTATGGGGAATGGTACCGCCCACCATGGCCTGAGTTTTCCCACAGTATTTAATGTATAATCAGGACTGTCCACTAGGGGCATGACCTCAGGCCAACCTGATCTAGAAATCCCCACTGAGTCTCATCTCAGAGGACCCCTGTTTGTGTCAGTTTGTTAATTAGAACTAACTAAGTACTATTATTCTTCATCCCTTAAGATTAACTTCTGTTTATAGCTGAATTCACTTTAAAGGAAAGGACTGTACTTTAAATCAAATATAACTATTATGGATATGTGAAGTAAAATATAACTGCAGAGGCTGTTATATAAAACAACAGCGTTTGTGTTTTGTATATTTAACATCTGACTGAAAAGCTTTTATCTTTTTTTGAAGGCTGACAAAGAGACTAGCTAAAGAAAAGCACAAGGTACTGTAAACGGATAATCAGAAACATAGTTTGATTGGTTGTGGGAGGAAAGGGGAACTTGGACTGCAGGCTAGTGACATCACACTGGGAGGAGCTACCGCTATCACAGCTGCCATGGGCATCACCATAACTCTGAGCAGTGAGGATGTGAACCTGCAGCCTCCCAGCGCCCACCCCAAGCCTGCACCATGGGTATCTGGTAGTGAGTCAAGCCTGTGAGTCCTCGCATGAGTAGTGTCTGTCTTATAGATAAGTCCTGGCAAGGAAGGTTTTGGAAGCTATGTTTTATTATGTGAAAAATAAGAGTATCAATTAGAGGAGTGTGGCTATGTTTCTGTGTGCCAAGCTGCCAAAAAAAGGTAACCCAGAAAGTCACTCCTCCCTGAAGGCTGTGGAGACTGATGCTGAGGAAGGAAGAGATATGATCGCTGCAGATTTGCAGGTCCTGGTAGTTTCAGCTCAAGCAGTAAATACACAGCCGATTGTACCCACTCTAGAGACTGTCCAAGGCCTGGGCTCCTTCACACAATTTACCTGCAAAATTAGCAGAATCATGAGCCTGGGGGAGGAAATGAGGAGCTGGAGAATGTTCCCAAAGTTGACTGAACAAGCCTGTAAAAGCCCAAAGTCAGGCAAAGGTTTCCAGTGTCTGCATCTGTAACCATGTGACATCCACTACAGCATCCCAGTATCTGTATGTGGTCACCCTAGGACGTCCACTACAGCATCCCAGTATCTGTATGTGGTCACCCTAGGACGTCCACTACAGCATCCCAGTGTCTGTATCTGGTCACCTTGGGACGTCCACTACAGCATCCCAGTGTCTGTATCTGGTCACCTTAGGATGTCCACTACAGCATCCCAGTGTCTGTATGTGGTCACCCTAGGACGTCCACTACGGCATCCCAGTGTCTGTATCTGGTCACCCTAGGATGTTCACTACAGCATCTCCTTTTCTGCATCTGGTCACCCTAGGACGTCCACTGCAATATCCCAGCCCACTGCACAGGGATGAGCGATGTGGGGTACAAACCAGGGTACAAAGGAACAAGCTGAACAGGGAGACCAAGTGTGTACTTGGACTGTAGGCCATGATTCTTCAGGAGCCTCCCCCTTGCCTGAGACAGAGAGAAAGGCAATGGAGAGGGCGAAGGGAATCAAATGAGACCCTGAGTTGCTGAGGCACCGCAAAGTCCATCCATCCTGTTGAAACCGGTTAGAACACAGATGCCAAGAGATCCCCAAACCAGGATTGCAAAGAGCAAAAGAGGTTGTTCACCAGCTCTGCAGGTTCAGCTGACTGGCTAGGTAAAGTCAGACTTAACAGGACAGGAAGAGAGAGATTTCAGCAATAGCAAAGAGAAACCGCCCTGTTAGCCAGATAGCTAGAAATAACTGCTTTCTCTATATGCTGCGAGGGTTTGCTTGTTTATACTTAATCCTAACTTGTCCTAAATACTTAAGTTGGCTTAAGGCCTAGGGAGATAGCTCAGAGGTTAAGAGCACTGGCTGCTCTTTCAAAGATCCTGAGTTCAATTCCCAACAACCACAGGGTGGCTCACAACCGTCTATGATGAGATCTGGTGCCCTCTTCTGGCCCGCAGTAATACATGCAGGCAGAACACTAAAATAAAAATAAATAAACTTTTTAAAAAGATAGATTATCAAGGACAATATAATGTTGTATCAACTGAAATATATGATGGAGGTAACTCAGGAAGACTTTTGCAAAGGAGCTATGTTTTGAAAAAGAAATGAAGCAACCGGAGATGTAAAGGCTGTGTGTGGTGGCACACACCTTTAATCCAGAGATGGGCAGATCTCTGTGAGTTCAAGGCCAGTTTGATCTCACAGAAAGTTCTAGGCCATAATAAAGTTCTGCCTCTAAATTGATTAATTATTAATAACAAGGAGATATTACTTAGAGTTTCCTTTGACAAAATCAGTTTTATCTAGAATTACATTTCTGCTTATGCATTTTATTAAAGTTTAAAACTACCACTTTTGTGTATGAGTTGGGGGATGTTTAGAAATAGTGCTGTTTTACAGATGGAAACCCAAGTAAGTCAAGTAAATGAAATGAAAGAAGCCAACAGCCTAAGTCAGCCTTCTGCAATGGCCTCGGGAAATGGTGAGTTTCCCTGTGCTTGCTCTGAGTCCATCTGGGGCTGTTTATGCATCCCTCAGTCCTGGGTCACAGGACACTGAAGTGTCCGTGTTCTGGGCCCTCAGGAGATGCCCTCTCTCCCATTCTAGACAAAACCACTTCAAACTCCAGCCAAAGAGCTCTGTGAATGCCCGCTGTGCTGCGCCTGATGTGAAAGGCATCGGCAGCAGGTTGAGCGGGCTGTAATAACTGTAGAACCCCACCTCTAGCTTTCCGTGGGTCTCTTTTCAGTCCACTACCCTTAGACATTTCAGTCGCTCTGCTGGGGTCTTCTTAACCAAAATAAATTAAATGTACATAAATTACATGAGTAACAATGTGTCTTCCTCCACAGCTATTTCCTCAATTGTCTTATATTCCCCTATTAAGAAGCTACTAATTCATCTTGTAAAGTATGTAAATTGCTTTCCACTCCCATTACCAATATAGGAGACTTAAAATTCTTCTTTATTTTTGCATGTATTATCATGGGTCTTTTTCATTGCTACTGTTCTAGTAAGTGGCTATTGTGAATATCAGTGTTTTTTAAACAATACTTTTAGTACTTCTTTGATAATTTCATATGATGTATTTTGATCATATTACCTGCCCTTCCCCAGCTCCTTCCATAACCACCTCCCTCTCCATTTCCCCCCAGCTTTGGGTTTTGCCCCTTCTACCCCATGATGCCCAGTTAGTCTTGGGGATGGAAAGTGCCTTGCCACGTTTGTGACCTGCCAGGGGGTCCCATCATTAAAGAAAACTGACTCTTTCTATCCCCACCACTATCAAGGCCAATAGCTCCTCAGCTAGCAGTGTGATCTTATGCCCACGTTCCCCTTCTAATGCAGAGATCCTTTTCTGCTTGAGCTCATGCGTGTCTTTTGTATACCATGACAACCATTGTGGCTTCATACGTGTAACTGCCCTGGTATGCCTTGATGTTAGCCACAGTCTCTGCCTCTTATGATTTTCTAGTCCCTCTTCTCCAAAGACCCCCGGGGAGGGGTGTGATGTGTATGCCCCCATGGAGCCGAGCTCTCCACAGTCTCACACTCTCTCCATGTTGACTATTTGAGAGTCTGTGTTAATCACCATCTACTGCAAGGAGGAACTTCTGTGATGAGGGTTCAGAGATGCTCTGATTTATGTATATAGCAGTATAGCAATATAGTCATTAGGGGTCGTCTTAATGCTATGTCCCTTTAGCAAAGCAATAGTTCTAGATTCTTCCTTAGAGCCTTCCTCATTCAGATTCTTCCTCTGACCTACCCAGCCACAGATTCTTGGTGTCTTTAACAGTGCCAGGTATGGATTCCATCTCATGGCGCAAACCTTAGATCCAATCAGAAATTGGTTGGCTCACCCCATGATATTCATGCCACTGTATGTCCAGTGCGCACATCTGTCAGGCCGGTCATTGCAGGCTGCAGGGCTCACAGCTGGGTGAAGTGCTGACTACTCTTCTGCAGTCGCACGCATAGCGCCTTCAAGTACTGTGAAAGCTAGTCATAGGGATGAGGCCTCCAGCTGAGGACCAGCTTGATGTGTCCATGTTGTCACTGAAGTTTGTGTTGTCTTTAGCAATACAGTCTTACTGTCAAGCCAAGAGTACTGGCAATAGAGTGCAATGTGACCCCACTGGCCAACAACTCAAAACGAGGTAACCTATTCCAGATATGGAGATTTTTATTTGTTAGCATAGGGTGTCTAGTTGGGTTTTGTCACCTCACCAATTTAGTGTTATTTTTAGATTCAATGTTAAGCTTCTTTCCATGTATTTATTGTCTGTGTGTGCATGTGTGTGGTTCTGGGGGTTAAACCTAGGCCCTTGTGCACGTGAGGTACATGCTGTACCACTGAACTGTAGCTCCAACTCTGGTTACTGTTTTTATTTTGAAGGACTCTTTGTCAGGCTGATGACATGGCTCAGAGGTTAAGAGCACTGGCTGCTCATCCAGGAGTCCTGAGTTCAATTCCCAGCAATCCCAAGGTGACTAACAACCATCTATAGCAGGGTATATTCAGATAGAGCACTCATACATAAAATAAGTAAATCTAAAAAAAAAAAAAGAAAGAAAGAAAAGAAAAAGAGTCTTGGTAAGTTTCTCAGATGACCTTGAGCTCCCGAACCTGGCTCAGGTACTAAATGACCTTTGCTACTCCTGCCTCAGCCTCCTGGGTACCTGGGATTACAGACCTGTGACTCTGGTTTCCTTTGTCACTTTGATATCCCATGCAAATGAAAGCACCTGGATTTATTTCAGCTTACACTTCTAGGGCATCATATCCCCTGAAACCGGAGTTACAAGTGGTTGTAAGCCCCACGTGGGTGCTGGGAATCCAGTTCAGGTCTTCTGCAAGATCAGTCTGAACCCCTGAACAGCTCTCTGGCCCTTAGGTAGTTGTTGTTGTTGTTGTTGTTATTGCAGGGTAAAGCTGTAGTTTACTTTTTATTCAGCCTGACAATCTGTCTTTCTGAAGTTTTCAATCATGTTCATTCTACATAATTACTTGAGTCTATTGAGTCTTCAATAACATTTTCCTGGACATAGGAGTAGCAACCGCTGACAAGTCAAAATTTGCAAGCATCTTTTGACTTCTAAAATAGAACTCCTAGGGAACTGTTGTTGAATGGAATTCTTAGCAATAACACAAATGGCCGGAGGACCCAGATTCTGTGTGGGAAGTGTAGAAGGGCCGAGAGAGCTGTGAGAGGTCCTTTGGATTGCAGTCGCCAATCTGAGAGGCAAACTGCTGTACAGAGGTACCCTCTGCAGTGTGCAAATGTCCTTCCATGGGGCTTCCAGCAGGAGAGCAGGAGAGCAGGAGGCCGTCTTAGGTTGTTGCAGCAGTGCAGTTGGAGAACTTGGCTTTTTTACCTTAGTTTTTTATGTCTTGGCTTCAGGTCATACCACTTAGGGGCAGAAGTATGTTCATAACTCTGATCCACGGCTTACTATGGACTCCTATGTTTTCTTTTATTAACAGATTATGAGATATACTATTTTGTATGTATGTTTTATACATTCATGACATGCATCTTAAGTTTTTTCAATATTCCTATGGTATGTGGTTCTGTGAAATTTTCAGATTATGTGAAACCTCAATGCAATTCAAAAAACAGAGTGTATACATAGACCGACACTGTTTGAACATGTCTTGTTCAAGTGTAAGCTGTAGTTAAATTTGTTCACAGTCATGCTGTTTAGTTCCTGTTGATTTGGATTTGTTTGAACAAAAATTAAATTTTTAAAAAAGGTGACTCTCATGAGTCTACCTCTCTTTGAATTTCAATATGGGATATATTTAAGTCACATTTAACAGCTTGACCCTTCTTTGCTGTTCTTATGATAGCCTCCAGTCCTGTCTGGTCTTCTCCCCGCCCCAGCCCAGCCCCAGTAACGGGCAGGACCTTTCTGGATGAATATTGGGACTTTTGCATTACGATATGTCTTATGGGGCCCAGGGAAGGAAATGTGGTAGTGTGGATGAGAATGGTCCCCACAGGTTCATATAACAGGATAATTGCCTCCCCCCACCCAGCTGGTAGAACTGTTTGGGAAGGACTAGGTGTAGCCTTGCTGGAGGAAGTGTGTCACTGGGGCTGGGCTTTGAGGTTTAGAGAGACGCCTGCTGTGCTGCTCCCAGTGTGTCTCTTTCTCTCTGCCTCTTGGCTTTGTCTCAAGATGTAAGTTCTCAGGTACTGCTTTCAGCCATGCCTGCCTGCCTCCTGCTGTGCTCGCAGCCAGCCCGTCAGTGGACTCTAACCCTCTGAAAGTTAGCCCTAAATTAAATTTTTTAAAGTTGCTTTGCTCATGGTGTTTTATCATAGCAATAGAGAAGTAACTAAGACCGCTACATTTAAGTTACATTAAACAGCTCCACCCTTCCTAATCCTGTTCAGACAGCCTCCGGTTCTCTGCAACGCAGACAGAGCCTTTTTGCTAACCTACTGGACCCTAACTTAAGATTTTATTCAACCATTTGCTGGGAATGGGCACTCTCCAAGCATTCCATGGGCACTGCAAGCTTTCCAGGTCTTTCCACTAGTTGCAGATACTCCTGCATGAGCATTTGTCATCCTCTGCTGTTGAAGGAGTCGGCAGATCTGCAGCATCCTGCCACACTGTTCTCTTCCCTCCTGCATCCTGCCACACTGTTCTCTTCCCTCCTGCATCCTGCCACACTGCTCTCTTCCCTCCTGCATCCTGCCACACTGCTCTCTTCCCTCCTGTGTTCTGCCCTGTGATCTCTGCAGACTCACCTCCCTCACCACAGAGAATCCAGGAGACTCCACATCAGTTCGTTCTTCTTGTTTTCTGCCTGAACCATCTTTCTACAGGGAGAGATGACATTGGGAGCCTTTCTCATCTGTTTTCTGTCTGTCAATCATAGATTGTTATCATAATAATTCATTTTCTTAATAATTGTCAAAGCAAATATTTTTGCTGTTTTGGTTTTCTTGTTGTTTCATGTTGAAATAAAATCTGTATCTGTTACACCATCTTGACTGGAAATAGATTGCAATGGAATCTCCACAAATGAATGGACCAGCTAGAGAGCTTCACTTTCTCTATGTCACTGACTCCAGCTCATCCTCCATTTCTCAGGGTAGCTTTTTCCTCCTTGACACATCTGCCTTGAGCCCGTTTTATATTAATTTTCATAGGTGATCATAGGACTGTCTCTTACAGTGTTTATGTGAATATATAATGCTCATTTATCTGAATATAATGCACATTTTATGTCACTTCTCCTCTGTATTTGAAACTAAACAAAAATGAGGTGTATTAGTCAGGGTCCTCTGGAGTAACAGAACTCATAGAATGAATACATTTATATAAAGGGAATGTATTAGAATGACTAATAGGCTGTGGTCCAGCTAGTCCAACAATGGCTGTCTACCAACAGAAGGTCCAGGAATCCAGTAGTTGTTCAGTCCATGAGGCTGGATGTCTGAACTGGCCCTTAGCATATGCTAGAATCCTAAAGAAGCAGGCTCTAATGCCAGTGGAGGAGTGGACTTGCTAGAGAGCAAGCAGGCAAATAGAGAACAAGCTTCCTTCTCCCATGTCCTTCCTATAGGCTTCTAGCAGAAGGTGTGGTCCAGATTAGAGGGGGATCTTCCCACCTCAGAAGATCTCGATTAGAAGTAGGTTTTCCCACTTCAAATTATTTAATTAAGAAAAGCACTACAGGTGTGTCTAACCATTTGGTTTTTAGTTAACCCCAGATGTAGTCAAGCTGCAGCGGAGAAGGGCCACCACACAAGGCCTCACTTGTTTTATCTGCACGATTCCATACTGTGTGGTCGTCATTAGAGGCACATGGTGCTTGTTCAGCGTATGAGTGGCTGACTGTGAGGATGTGGTCCCTATGTACAAAATATGCTCATGTGTAATTTATTCTCCTGCTGTCCTCTCTCACACAGACTCTATCAGCCTGCTGAAACTCTGGGATGTGATTCATTCGTATGAAAGACTGATGGAGCTTAAGAACAGTCACTGCAAACTGCTTACAAGACAACTTGAGAGCATGGAAAACAGGGCTAGCGGAGTGCAGAGAGAACAGTCAGAAGTAAAATCCTGGGTACAGCATAGAGGAGGAGACTGGGAAGACATCTGCTCTTTGAGGCATGATATCTTATTTGTTTTTTTAATTAAAAATTTTTATTTTCATGCTATATGTATATGTGTGTGCATCTGTGTGTGCATCCGTGTACCACATGCATGCAGTGCCCCCAGAGTCCAGAAGAGGGCATCAGATTGCCTGGACCTAGAGTTACAGATGACTGTGAGCCACTTTCTGGGTCCTGTGCAAGAGCAGCCAGTGTTTTTCACCACTAAGTCATCTCTTCAGCCCTGTGACATCTTAGTCTTGAAGAAACAGCTGAACAATCATATTGTATTATAGATCTGAAGTAGAATTTTCATCATTGCTGGCTTAAGGTTTAGTGCCCTATAGAAGAAAAATATTTTCAGTCCTGTGAGGTGTAGAATTATTGGAGAAAGTGGAACCAACTCATTTAGCTATGAGCATTTTAAATAAACAAATTCATAATTTTTAAAACTGAAATTCAAGTGGCTATGCTGAGTTCTATTATTCACTTAGGACTGAGAATTTGTGATCATTCTCAGATTTTTCTGTTACAATTGATGCTGCAAAAAATTCCATTTGAATTTGTTTTCTAAATTTCTAAATATTTTGGAAAAATCATCCATATACAATTACTTGTTCAAAGTATAGGAATTATTTTTAAAGGCTTGGATCAATAAATGTTACTTGTTCTAAAGAAAGCTTAATATTCATTGATAGCTCCAAGCAAAAAGTATGAAAAAATCATCTCTCAACTGAAATGTTTTAAAACTTATACTCTTGAACTATTTGCTTATTACATTGCTAGGGATCCAACAAAGGTCGCCATAAATGACAAGCCCTCTAGAGGCTGTTAAGCTAGGCCCCATCTGTACTTTTAACACGAATAATATAAAAAGAAAATGAAGGTCACTGGTTAATTTGTTCAGTATCTCTTTCATATATTGATAAAATTAATTTATATTTCTATGAACTACTCAATGCTGTTGAATGAGCAGGTCATGTGTTGTTCACAAAAGACCATCAAGCTTCTTATGCAATAAATAATATTGTGATAGGCTTGTTTTATGAACAAACAGAATGAGAGATAATGGATACTAAATTTCTTCTCTGGGTCTTGGGTTATGGCTACAGAGTGACCCTAGTGTGTGAACATCTGGAAGTTCTCCTTTGCAATGAGAATCATTTTGAGGCACATCCGACACATTTTTTGGTGATGAAATTTTATTTCAAGTCAACTTATTCAGTTATTTTGAAGGGTAATAAATAAGTTGGTTTGTTAGTATAATAAAATCACATCCCACAATGAACGTTTTTCCTAAAAATTAGTTGTAATATATTTTAATACTTCAGGTTTCCCTTAAAACATGGTGAGAAGCAAGAACATGCTGAGTCTGTGTTTCAACAAAAGAAGATGCAGTTGAGCAGAAAAGAGGAGCAATACTGTGAAAATGTGGAACAGACACAACACCCGGAAATTGGAAAAATGATTGCAGATGCAAAGGCCATAGAAAATGATTTGAGACAGGTAAATTCATTCTGAGTAAAATTCTATATTTTTGAGGGCTTGATATTAGTTGGCTCGCTTCAATTTTGTGTGGTTTTAGATAAATACCTGTGACTAGCAGAAAAATATCAGGAAAAAAGGTATTGCTTGCAAATTCACTGAAAACATGAAAGCATGCAGCTACACGAAGTTGAGAGTTGTACCTCATTACATGACAGTGGATTAAAAGTAGGAAGACTAAATTTAAATAGTTATCCCAAACTATAGCTAAAACAGAACACCTCTCAAAGCATTTCCTAAAACAAACATCTTGTTTTCATCTAAAATATCATGTTAGTTTTTATCATCACTAGCATATATATCCCTGTGATCATTCACATATGTAGATATAAATTAATTTTTCAAATTATGGGTTTTGAGGTATTTATGGAAATTCAGACATACAAATTTCCACATTTGACCAGTTCTGTCGATTTGCATATGCAATAATATGTGCCTCAGTGTTAGAGTAAACATACGTTAGTTATCTGTAGATGGCAGATAGTATTGATTTGGGCATGGTGGAAATAAAGTCCTGGTGTTCCAGCTCAGTTAATTCTATAGTTACAGGACAGACGTTCCCATGGGCAATATCCGGGGTAAAGGGCAGACCGATGGTCTTAACTGCTTCCTCTTTTATTGCTCATTTTAGTTGCAGGGACTACAGGACCAGCTCTCAGAGACAGCACAGAGTTCTGGGAAGACGCAAGCCAGCTTACAAAGGTATAAAGTAGAGTGGTACGCAGAGTCCTGTGAGCTTTGCAGAAAGAACAGTGTAGTATAGAAAATCTAGCCCTTATGTTAATAAGTGCCCTTTTGGGAAGCCAGAAAACTCTTTCAGAATTACGATGGTTGAAATGCATTGTCTAAGTCTTGGATGCAGCTCAGCTGGACAGCTTAGTATTTCTGTGTGTACCAGGTTGAAGGGCTTGGTTCCAAACCGTGCAAAAAATAAATGTGCAAATTTGCATGATTATGCACATTATCCACAAAACACAGCAGGAAGAAGACAAAAATGTCCAAACCACATGCTTTTCAGACATTAATAATGAAATTATTCTTTCAGATGTTAGTTCATAAATTGTGATCATGTCTTTTAAAACTATATATGTGAATCATTACCAAATGCATTTTAGGCTTGAAATTCGACTTTCCAAGTTAAAAATTACACTGAGGGAGCAATCAGCAAAACTTGCACAGATTCAGAATCAACTGCTGCACGAAGGTTCGGTGAGTTTTGTTTCCTTCTGCCACACTAAAAATGTCTTCTCTAGGTGGCTGTTCTTGCTGTAGTCTCTTCTGTCTGAGTAGTAGAGCCTTCACTGGCCATCATTGAAGTGGAATGAAGACAGAAGGGAATTCTCCCGATTCCCACACTGCCTTCCCAGACATCACCATCCCATGACGACAGCATGAGCACCACCTGGAGCCAGAATGTGGCTGGTCCTGTAACCTGGTAACTCTGAAAAGCAGGTGCTGTGTGGGTCCCTTGTTAGTGACAACACCACAGAAACTGGGGCTCCCGGTCTTCTACATCAGGAAGGAGCACTGAAAAATAATCCTAGATTTCTTAGAAACTGGCCCCATTTTATTCGGATGCTTTTCACACAACAGAAAGGAGAACATGTTGAAGGATCTTCTGCGAATGAGAATGCCAAGGACATTCTTTTACTAAGTGTCGCACAGAAATGCACTGAATTGAAACAGTGAAGTCTGAGAGTTGTATAGCAGGATATCAGGCCCATTTAGCTTATTCAAACAATGAGGCAGTGGCTAGACAGATGGCTTAGCGGTTAAAAGCCCTCGATGCTCTTGCAGAGGACCCAGTTTTCATTCCCAGCACCCACATGATGGCTCCAAACTGCCTGTAAGTCCGCTTCCATGATACCATCTCCAACCTACAGGGACACAAGGCATGCACACAGTACACACACACACACACACACACACACACACACACACACACACACATGCACACGAAACATTTCTACAACATAAAGTAAAATAAACCTTTAAAAAATGAGGCATATTTTACAGTTTGTCCCAAAATGTATAAGGAATTAGGCTTAGAAACAATAGCCTCTTGGAGCCCTACTCTGACAAAAAAGAGATAAGAGTTTTTATCCCCCCAGCTCCATCAGCAGCCATTAACTCCTCCAGAGTGTCCTCAATATGCCAGAGATTACCAGAGCCGAAATATTTTACACATGCAACTTAATAGTTTTGTGAAAATTGTCTGGGGTGGGTGGAAAATGGCTTCCAGCAATATATAGTTGTTTAGTTTCCATTTACCCAATGAATTTCGGAACATTTACCCAAGGTTGTCAGTGTAGCAAAGGAAAAGAAAGGGAAACGGCTGGTGATGTGTGCATGAAAACGTCTACTACTTAGAAAGAGAAACAAGACAGAGATTCTGGACCACAGCTCCACCTTGCCAAAGTCTAGAAAGTGTGACTTTCAAAGTAGTGCCAAACAAAACCAGCAGGAAATACACACATTAGCATCCCTAATGGAATCCCTGCACTAGGGGATGATGGGTGGTAATCCACGAAGATTGAGCTAGAACACCATGAGCATCTCTGATGGAGTCCATTCAGTAGTGGATGGGCGGTAACCCACGAGGACTGTGCTAGAACACCATGAGCATCTCTGATGGAGTCCGTGCAGTAGTGAATGAAGGGTGGTAATCCACGAGGACTGTGCTAGAACACCATGAGCATCTTTGATGGAGTCCATGCAGTAGTGGATGATGGGTGGTAATCCACGAGGACTGGGCTAGAACACCATGAGCATCTCCAGTGAAATTCATGAAGAAGCCCAGGTGCCATTCCCAGAACCCATGTGGTGTTCACAACCATCTGGAACTCTAGTCACAGGGGAACTGATGCCCTCCATGTGCATCAGGTACACATACATACTTGCAGACTCTCACACATGTACGTAAAATAAAATAAATCCTTTTTAAAATCAGATTTTAAGTTAGTAGAAGGTGCTAGGTGACAAAAAGATTTTTAGATAAACTCTGTATTAAGGAATATTGGAACCCACCGGGAGGGTTTAGTCTGGATGGTAGGGAATCATGAGGAATGAAGCAGAGTTTATACTGTGTAGTGTTAACATGAAGACACTTCTTAAAGAAAAGTAGTAAATGAAGAAGAAAATTCCAAACTTACAGGAGAATTCTTACAGAGAATGAATATTTTCTCATCCTGAAGGCAGGTGAGAATGACTCAACAAATTATAAGAATGTAAATTCTACTGGTATTAGTTTAAACACAGACAGGTGGACCAATAGAACCAAATCAGAGACCTGGATACTAATCCACACACATATCAACACCTATTTTTGACAAAGAGGCTGAAATTATATAATGTTATATAATGGAAAAAAGAAAGCATCTTCAACAAATGGTGCTGGCATAACTGGATGTTGACATGTAGAAAAATGCAAATAGATCCATATCTATCCCCATGCACAAAATTCAAGTCCAAATGGATTAAAAACCTCAATATAAATCTGACCACAATGAACCTGATAGAAGAGAAAGTGAGAAGTAGCTTTCAATGCATGGGCACAGAAGATCACTTCCTAAATATTACACCTGTAGCACAGACGCTGAAAGCAAAAATAAAAAAATGGGACCTCCTGAAACTGAAAAGCTTCTGTAAAGCAAAGGACACAGTCAATAAGACAAAAGGCAGCTTACTAAGATCTTCACCAACCTCACATCAGACAGAGGACTGATCTCCAGAATATATAAAGGAGTCAAGACATTAGTTAATCCAGTTAAAATAACCCAGTTAAAAGATGCGGCACAGAACTAAACAGAGAATTCTTAACAGAATAATCGCAAATGGCCAAAGGACACGTAAGGAAATGTTCATCATCCTTAGCCATCAGGGAAATGCGAATCAAAACAACTCTGAGATACCATCTTACACCTCTCAGAATTGCTAAGATCAAAAACACTGATGACAGCTTATGTTGGAGAGGATGCAGAGTAAGGGGAGCACTCCCCCATTGCTGGTGAGAATGCAAACTTGTACAACCACTCTGGAAATCAGTATGGTGGTCTCTCAGAAAATTGGGAATCAACCTACCTCAGGACCAAGCAATACCACTCTTGGACATATACCCAAAGGATGCTCAACCATACTACAAGGACATTTGTTTAACTATGTTCATAGCAGTATTATTTATAATAGCCAGAACCTGTAAGCAACCTAGATGCCCGTCAACCAAAGAATGGATAAACAAAATGTGGTACATTTACACAGTGGAGTCCTACTCAGCGGTTAAAAAAAATAAAGACATCTTGATATTTGCATGCAAATGAACAGAACTAGAAAATATTATCCTGAGTGAGGTAACCCAGACCCAGAAAGATGAACATGGTATGTACTCGCTCATAAGTGGATACTAGGTGTAAAGCAAAGGATAGTGAGCCTATAGTTCACGACCCTAGAGAGCTAAGCAGCAAGGTGAACCCTATGAAAAATATATATAGATTTCCCTGGGAAGAGGAAATAGACAAGATCTCCTGACAAAATTGGGAGCATGGGGGTTGGGGGAAATGGAAGGTGGAAGGGGAGGAGGGGGGGAAGGGAAGGAGAACTTGAGGGATGGGATAGTCAAGATGGGGAAAGTCAGAGACAGAGAGCAAGGAAAGAGATATCCTGATTGAGGGAGCCATTATGGGACTAGCAAAAAGCCTGGCACTAGAGAAATTCCCAGGAATCCACAAGGATGACCCCAGCTAAGACACGAAGCAATAGTGGAGAGGGTGCCCGAACTGGCCTTGCCCTGTAATCAGATTGGTGACTCTCTTAAATGTCACCACAGAAACTTCACCAGCAGCTGATGGAAACAGAGGCAGAACACTTGGCTGAGCTCCCAAAGTCCAGTCGAAGAGGGGGAGGCATAAGCATATGAACAAAGAGGTCAAGACCATGATGGGGCACCCACTGAAACAGCTTACCAGAGCTATGGGGAGCTCACCAACTGTGGCCAGACAGGAAAGGAACCAGCATAGGGCCAAACTAGTCCCTCTGAATGTGGGTGACAGTTGCATGGCTAGGGCGGACTGAGGGGTCACTGACAGTGGCACCAGGATTTATACCTACTGCTTGTACTGTCGTTTTGGAACCCATTTTCTTTGGAAGGATACCTTGCTTAGCCTAGATATAGTAGGAGGGCCTTGGACCTTCCACATAGTCCAAGTGTATGGGGATGGGGTAGGCGGGTATGTGGAGGGAATAGGAAGAGGGGAGGAAGTGGGAACTGGGATTGGTATGTATAATGAAAAAAGTTTGTTTTTTTAAAAAAGAAAGAAAAAAAAAGAAACACACACACAAAAATGTAAATTCTATAAAAAGTAAAGCGGGGGACCTGAGAGATGGCGCATCAGTTAGGAGTACTGGCTGCTCTTCTAGAGGATCCAGGCTCAGTTCCCAGCACCCACTCTGGTGGCTCACAGTGATCTGTAGCTGCAGCTCCAGTACCTCCGGCACCCTCTTATGACCTCTGCAGGCTCCTGCACACACGTGGCATGTATTCATACACATGAACACAGATGAGGGCACAAAGAAAAAATTATAAATTTCTTTTAAAATTAAGGATAAATATATAAATGGATGAGAGTCGGTTTTGAGAAGTTATTTTTTGATTTGACCCTAAGTGGAACGCTACAGACTTATACAAAAGCATATTACTCATAATCATATAAGAGATGATTTTTATAAAATAAGAATAAGACTCCTGATTCTTTTAAGTATTTTTATAATTTTTTTAAAGCTTGGAGATGAAACAAAGAAACTCGTTCAGCAAACACAATCTCTAGAATGTGCTCTGGAAAAACAGATGGATAAAAATGAGGAATTGGTGGTGGAGCTAACTGGGTAAGATTTTGATATTTTAAATTTTTTCAGCATTAATTAGCTTCATCGTAATTTTTTATTATTTCATATTTTTGAGGATTTCATATATGAGTGCCATATTTGCTTCTTATTTCCCCTTCCTCTGACTCCTCTCATGTTCCCCAATTCCCCCTCAAATTCATAGCCTCTTTTTCTTTCATTTTTATTGTTACATCCGTGTGTATATATGTATAAATACAACCTCCTGAGTTCACTTCATATTGTTCCTGTGCGTGTATTTTAGAGATGAGCCCTTGGTGTTGTAACTTATTTTATGAGTGTTATGTCTGCACACGTGTCTGTGCACCACTTGCATGCCTGTGACCACCAGAAGAGGGTGTCGGCTCCCCTCAAACTGGAGTTGCATGTGGTTGTGAGCTGCCATGTGGATGCTGGAACCGAAACTTAGATCCTCTGCAAGAGCATGGAGAGCTCCTAAGCTTAGGGTCATTTCTCCAGCCCCTAGATTACATCTCTGTCAGGTTCTTTGGATGCTATTATACAAATTGCTTGTAGATTGTGAAGGTTGTTCCTGGGATTGTCTATCAATAAAAGATGGAGGTATTGGGGGATCTTGCCTTGGTAGATCTGTGATAACTTTTCAGTGAAAGTCAATCTGAAGAGCTTTGAAGCTGGAGCGACCCTTCTGATCTGACCCTAGTAAGGGTAGCAATAGTCCTATCTTCTATAAGAAACAGTGCAGTCAAATATACACACCGAGAATGGAAGGATGGGGGAAATACAGCAAGCAGATGGGAGCTGAAAAACAATTAGGAACACCTAAATGCTCTTCTGACTGAGTGGTATTTAAGACAAATTTGAAGAGATGGCAAAGGCCATGGAAATTAACAAATGGGATATTCTTTCAAGAATACAGTATGTCTCTTGTAAAGAGACGTGCATGTGATGCCCAGGCTCACAGTTTAAATAAACCTAAAAACTGCAGGGCTAAGTTGAAAGGTAGATCAAGATGGACTTAAGAGACTCCTGCAGAATACTCCCACATGTGGACTCCACTGTGGACTACAGTTTCTATAAGCCCATATCACATTCCCAAAGATAAATAACATTTTAGGCCAAAAAAGAAAATCTTGATAAATACAAATCTGTGAGGTTCTGGAAGAGGGAATCTCATAGAGCCTCAGCTGCAGGCAATAAGAAGTGCAGGGTGTGGAAGAAGCAGTCCTCCCCAGGGAAGAGCCCTCCGACTGGCTGCTCTGAAACTGTATACATACAAGTAACATTATATGTGCTGAGCAGGTATATGCATATATTTAGAACTAAATACATGTAACATCATTTAAAGAAATAGAAGCCATGAATTTGAGAAGGAGAAAGAGGGGTACATGGGAAGGGTTGGTGGGAAGGAAAAAAAAAGGAGAAAAACTATATAATTCTATTTTAATTTCAAAAAATAAGATTATAATTTCAGGCAGGAGAGATGGCTCCATGGTTAAGAGCGTTTGCTGCTCTTCCAGAGGACGCAGGTTCAGTTGCTACTACCCACATGCTGAGTCATAACCATCTGTAGCTCCAGGCCTGGAGATCTGACACCCTCTTTTGGCCTCCGTGAACATCAGGCATGCATGTGGTACACATACATACATGTAGGCAAACACACACACACGCAAAATTTACTTAAAGATTATAATTTCATTTAAATGCTTTCAAATCATTTTAGGCTGAAACAAGTAAAATATTCATAACTTACAGTTTTGTTCCTTTTATGATATTGCATATAATCTGCTTACATTATTAAATATTGATGCTGGAAACACTCATATGCCAATTCTGTACATTTTTACAGATTTAAGAAACTCTTTGAGGAGACACAAAAGAAGCTAAATAAGCATGAAGACAGAGAACTTAGGAGTCCTGGAGATTTAAAAACCAGCCAATTTGATATGCATATCCCAATTAGTACACTAAGGCATGAGGTAATTTCAATAATCTGTAAGATTCAATATCTCTTGCTTTGGATAAATATATAAATACATAAATTTTCCTGTTGAGTTTTGAAACTATTTCTTTGGCGTTTTAGAAGAGGTCATTAGATTAGGAAGAGTCGCCAACCTACAGGAATCTCAAGTCCCCACCAATTCCCCCTGTCGAGCTTCTACTCTTCATCCAAGACTATAGCAAGACAATGTTGGTTTACAGTCTTAAGATGGTCTCCAGCAATTCCCAATAACAGTTTGTGAAAGACATGCACGAAAGGCAGTTATCAGGGAAAATATGATGGATATGAAATGTGAATAAGCTCTATCAGATCCAGGTTTCTTTCTCTGTCCCCTTTGTTTGTTTGTTTGTTTTCCTTGTTGTTACTTTATTTTAAGCCTCTCCTTTCGAAGAGGGACACTGAAGACAAATTGATGCCAGGAGTTAAGACAGCACTGTGCACACAAGCTTCAGTCACACTCTTTTATTACTGAACAGAAAAAACCTCTCTGATACACATGCCCCCTCTCCATATCTCAACATGTGGACTTTACTTAAATGACCATTCTTTTCAGAGTCGAAACCAAGCTATCGTGAATTTGTGCATCATTTCAGAAAGAGGTATAATGACTTATGAGTAGTCCAGGTTAGAAATATGTGAGTACTTAATCACAGTGTGGGCTGTGACGATTACATTATAGATCTGATCATCACCTAATAGGGCACCTGGTTGTCCAAGTTCTGCTCGAATTAGGATACTAAGGGCTGTCCCTACTATTCCTGCTCAGGCCCCAAATAGAAGACATAGAGTCCCGATGTCTTTATGATTGGTAGAGAATAGTCAGCGATTAATGAGCATGAGTAAAATGGCTGAGTAAAGCATTAGACTGTAAATCTAAGCACAGAGGATAAAGCCTCTTTTTACCAAGCCTTAAGGTGATAATCACATCGAATTGCAAATTCGAAGGTGTAGAGAACTGACTCTCCTAAGGCTTCTCCTGCCCCCTTTCTGATAGGCGGGAGAAGTAGATTGAAGCCAGTCTAGGGTGTTTAACTGTTAACTAAAAGTTTATAGGTTTGAGTCCTATCAATCTAGTTGAGGATTGGCTTAATTAAAGCAATATATTTGCACTCATTAGATGTAGTCTTGCAGTTCTTATCAGAAGTTAAACTTTGTGGGTTTGCTTAGGGCTTTGAAGGCTCTTGGACTATCCTAAACTTCTGTTTATAGGAGCAGGGGAGGTAGGGGTAGGATTATTGTGCTTAAGATTATTAGTGGTGATAAAATATTGTTGGTTTTTTGTGTAGTCTTGGTGAATATATATATTTTAGAATTGTTATTTGTTGAGAATGTGGTTAGTGATGGCCCTGGCCCCACAATTTTCTGTCTGTGTACACAATATTCTGTCGGTGTGTGTGTCTGCAGGCCAGAAGAGGGCACCAGACCTCATTACAGATGGTTGTGAGCCACCATGTGGTTGCCTGGAATTGAACTCTGGACTTTTGGAAGAGCAGGAAATGCTCTTAACCACTGAGCCATCTTTACAGCCCCTTTTCCTCCTTTTTAACTAAACCAGGTTTCCTCGACGTGGTGTGTGGGTCACATCTGTATTCCCCTAACATGTGGAGCACAGGGGTCTCCATGGGCCTATTGGCCGTTAGTGTACCTCATAGAGGAGGTCTAGATAGATTGTTTCTCCAGTTTTAAATTGGATTAACCTTTCGCTGGTGTTTGTCATCCCTTGTATGTCTTGGATGTGAGTCTACATCAGGCACATGAACACGCCAGTATTTTCTTCTTCTAGCCATCTTGCCTTGCTCTCCTTGGCGGTGTCTGAAGCACGCTGGCTCATGGTGATGGAGCTGTTAGGCTTTAATGTCCTAACACAAAGTCTTGCCTGCTCCAGTCACAACAACATGCGCCCATGTCCTTTTCTTAGAATTTGCGCATCTCATTTCATACTTTTAATGTTGCATTCTGAGTGAATTTTTTTGGTGGTGTTTCATAGTCACCAGCACTTGATTTTTTTTCACGTATGGATACCAAGTTGCCCCAGAATCATTTCTTGTTGGAAAAAAAAAATTGTCCTGGAACTAGCTCTTATAGACCAGGCTAGCCTCGAACTCACTGAGATCCGCCTGCCTCTGAGTGTTGGGATTAAAGGCGTCCACCACCATAGCTAAAAATATTGTTCTTAAGCATGATTATGCAGCATTTTGTTGAGAGTCAATTGATCATAAACGTGTGAGTTTGCTTTGGGTCCCGCAAGCCAGGACCAAATCAAGTCGATTTCTCAGGTGGGAACTCTTTTCAGGAGTGTGTGGCTTATTGCCAGCTGTCTTCTGTAACAAGTTGCTGGGGTGGAAGTGATAACTTCATTCTGGTGTAGACCTTCTCCTTCTTTTTTTAATATTTATTGAGCTCTACATTTTTCTCTGCTCCCCTCCTTGCCTTTCCCCTCCCCACTTCAGCCCTCCCCCAAGGTCCCCATGCTCCCAATTTACTCAGGAGATCTTGTCTTTTCCTACTTTCTACTTCCCATGTAGATTATATCTATGTAAGTCTCTCTTAGTGTCCTCATTGTTGTCTAGGTTCTCTGGGATTGTGGTTGTAGGTTGGCTTTCTTTGCTTTATGTTTAAAAACCACCTATAAGTGAGTACATGTGATAACTGTCTTTCTGTGTCTGGGTTACCACACTCAAAATGATGTTTTTTAGCTCCATCCATTTTCCTGCAAAATCAAGATGTCGTTATTTTTTTCTGCTGTGCAGTATTCCATTGTGTAAATGTACCACATTTTTCTTATCCATTCCTCGGTGGAGGAGCATTTAGGTTGTTTCCAGGTTCTGGCTATGACAAACAAAGCTGCTATGAACATAGTTGAGCACATGTCCTTGTGGCACGACTGAGCATCCTTTGGATATATACCCAAAAGTGGTATTACTGAGTCTTGAGGAAGGTTGTTTCCTAATTTTCTGAGAAATTGCCACACTGACGTCCTAAGGGGTTGTACCAGCTTGCATTCCCACCAGCAATGCAGGAGTGTTCCCTTTTCCCCACAACCTCTGTAGCATAAGTTGTCATCAGTGTTTTTGATCTTGGCCATTCTTACAGGTGTAAGATTGAATCTCAGAGTTGTTTTGATTTGCATTTCCCTGATTACTAAGAATGTTGAACATTTCCTTATGTGTCTTTCATCCATTTTAGATTCCTCTGTTGGGAGTTCTCTGTTTAGGTCTGTACTCCATTTTTTTTTTATCGGATTATGTGTTCTTTTGGTAATCAGTTTCTTGAGTTCTTTGTATATTTTGGAGATCAGACCTCTGTCTGATGTGGGGTTAGTGAAGATCTTTTCCCATTCTGTAGGCTGTCGTTTTGTCTTGTTGACCATGTCCTTTGCTTTACAGAAGTTTTTCAGTTTCAGGAGGTCCCATTTATTAGTTGTTTCTCTCAGTGTCTGTGCTGCTGGGGTTGTATTTAAGAAGAGTGCCAGTGCGTTCAAGTGTACTTCCCACTTTCACTTCTATAAGGTTCAGTGTGGCTGGCTTTATGTTGAGGTCTTTGATCCATTTGGACTTGAGTTTTGTGCATGGTGATAGGTATGGATCTATTTTCATTCTTCTACATATTGATATCCAGTTATGCCAGGACCACTTGTTAATATGCTTTCTTTTTCCATTTGATATTTTTTGCTTCTTTGTCAAAAATCTGGTGTTCGAAGATGTTTGGATTGATGTCCGGGTCTTCTATTCAGTTCCATTGGTCCTCCTGTCTGTTCTTATGCCAATACCAGGCTGTTTACAGTACTGTAGCTCTGTAGTAGAGTTTGAAGTCAGGGATTGTGATGCCTCCAGAAGTTCTTTTATTGTACAGGATTCTTTTTGGCTATATTGGGCTTTTTGCTTTTCCATATGAAGTTGAGTGAGTACCGTTCTTTCGAGGTCTTTGAAGAATTTTGCTGGGATTTTGATGGACATTGCATTGAATCTGTAGATTACTTTTGGTAAGATTGACATTTTTACTATGTTAAATTCTGCCTACCCAAGAGCATGGGAGATCTTTCCACTTTCTGGTGTCTTCAATTTCTTTCTTCAAAGATTTAAAGTTCTTGTCATACAAGTCATATTTTATGCTAGTTGTGGTTATTGTGAAGGATGTTGCTTCTTTGATTTCTTCCACAGCCCTTTTATCATATGTGTACAGGAGGGCTACTGGTTTTTTTTTTTTTTAGTTAATCTTGTATCCTGCTACATTGCTGAAAATGTTTATGAGTTGTAGAAGTTCCTTGGTAGAATTTTTGGGGTCGCTTATGTAAACTATCATATCATCAGCAAACAGTGAGAGTTTGACTTCTTTTCCAATTTGTATCCCCTTGATCTCCCTTTGGTGTCTTATTGCTGTAGCCAGGACCTCAAAAACTATATTGAATAGATATGGAGAGAATGGACAACTTTGTCTTGTTCCTGATTTCAGTGGAATCGCTGGGAGTTTCTCTCCATATAGTTTGATGTTGACTGTTAGCTTGCTATATATTGCCTCAATTATGTTTAGGTATGTTCCTTGTATCCCTGCTCTCTTCAAGACCTTTATCATGAAGGGATGTTGTATTTTGTCAAAAGCTTTTTCTGCATCTAATGAGATGATCATGTGGTTTTTATTTTTCAGCTTGTTTATATGGTGGATTACGTTGACAGATTTTCATGTGGTGCAAGAGAATTGTTTGTATTCTGTCAATCATGTTTTAAATAAACGCTGATTGGCCAGGCAGGAAGTATAGGTGGGAAAACCAGACAGGAAGTAGAGGTGATGCAATGAGAACAGGAGAATTCTGGGAAGGAGGAAGTTGATTCCTCCCACTCCTGCCCAGATCACCGAAGAAGCAGGATGTAACTAGTCAGCTGGAAAAGGTACTGAGCCAGATGGCTAAAATAGATCAGAATAATGGGTTAATATAAGTTACAAGAGCTAATAAGTAGCCTGACCTAATGGGCCAATCAGCTTTATAACCTATAGAGATCTCTATGTGATTTTCTTTGGGGCTTGCCAGCTGTGGGGTACTGGGCGGGACAAAAACCCCAACAAGCAGGCCCCATCATGTTACATTTGTGTATTGAACCATCCCTGCATCTGTGGGATGAAGCCAACTTAATCATGGTGGATGATGGTTCTGATTTGTTGGAATCTTGGATTTGATTTGCCAGTATTTTATCAATGTTCATGAGTGAGATTGGTCTGTAATTCTCTTTCTTAGTAATGTCTTTCTGTGGTTTTGTTATCAGGGTAATTGTAGCCTCATAAAAAGAATTTGGCAATATTCCTTCTGTCTCTGTTGTGTGGAATAATTTGAGGAGTATTGGAATAATTGAAGAGTATTCTTCTTTGAAAGTCTTGTAGAATTCTGAGCTGAAACCATCTGGTCCTGGGTTTTTTTTGGTTGGGATACTTTTGATGACTGTTTCTATTTCTTCAACTGTTATAGATCTGTTTAATTTGCTTATCTGGTCGATCTTCACCTTCTTAAAGGGACAGTAGAAGACATAGTAGACTGTCCCTCCTGCTCTTGTCACCTATCCTGCTGGAAAGACAGCAAAGGAAAACTAAGGGTAATATATTTGCCATGAGGGAATAACAATATGAATGGGAAAATAAGAACCCCAAGATCCTCCATGGCAACAGGATGACCCCAGAGAAAGGTTGGTAGTATGCCAGCTGTAAGCCCTCAGCAGACTTCTTGGTGCCAAACAAGTGACTGCACATGTCACAGCTGGAAGGCTCTTAGAGGGCATCAGTGCCAACCAGGAACAGTCTCTTGCAGAACAAGCCTGCAGTTCACAGACCAGAGTAGCAGCGGGGCAGGCACATCCAGAAGGCTTCAGTCAAGAGCTTCAGTCAAGAGCTCTGTGCAGGGGGCAGTTCAGTCATGCGAGCAGTCCTCTCTCTGACTCCTCTCTTGAGTTCTCAAGCCTTCTGTTCTTGTAGCCCCAGAACATAAGAAATTATGGGCCCTGGGCCCTGACTGGCATGCAAATAAAGTTAGAAATGGGGCCAATCAAGAAAGAGCAGTCAAAAAGCTATCAGCAACCCCAGTTGCTAAGGTGTCACCTGTTACTCTTCTGACCTGAACCCACCTGGGGCTCTGACCATAAAAAGTCAGGTCCTTCATGCAGCTGAGGAGGGGTTAGGCCCCCTGTGTGCAGCTGAGGAGGGGTTAGCCCCCCTGGATATAGCTAAGGAGGGGTTAATTCCCCTGGGTGCAGCTGAGAAAGGGTTAGCCCCGCTGTGTGCAGCTGAGGAGGGGTTAGCCCCCCCTGCATGCAGCTGAGGAGGGGTTAGCCCCGCTGTGTGCAGCTGAGGAGGGGT